CGTTATGGTGGAGGAAGTCACGGTGGGCGTGTGAAGTGTTCCCGGTAGTGCTGTGGGGTGTGCGAGGCGCGGGTGATGAGTAGCCTGGGGCCGTGATGCCGACAAGGCCCTGCGGTAGTGTGCCATCGGAACAGGACAGCGGCGCAAAGTATGGGAGTGAAACTCGGGTACTGGCAGAAGGAAAGCTTTCCTTTTTAACTTTATTTAAGTGTAGGGGCTGGTGCTTTATGTTTTAAGTAAGCTGCCAGGCTTGTTGTGTGCTTTGGAGCCTTTTCTACCCTTTTTTGTGCTGCCTGCAGAGCTACAAGGCTGTGCACACACTGTGTGCATGCTTTGCTGTGTGTGCCACCCTGGATCCCCTTCTCCTAGGCTGTCTACAGCTCTAAACTCTACTGTCACGATAAGCAGAATTATAATAACGTATGTTAGTAAACAAGTACCTTCTAGTGGCTTCAACCCACCATATACCTCTTTACACTGGAATATCTAAGGTAATAACAGCCCTGTATGACAGTGTGGAGGCAGATGGGCAGCCTGCACCTCAGGTTATGCATGCTGTCAGTAGCTGAGCATTCCTAGTCTGAGTGCAGGGCTCACATGGACACTTTCAGTTCCAGTTTTGCATATGTAACTTAATGTTTGTCAGTTTCCTCTTATGTGAAGAGCCACAGAATGAGAGCATAATCTTGGTAAATAACTGACATTTTGGTTTCTTTAAATATAAACTTACAAAGTGTTATCTATTAAATGTGTTTCCTGTCAAGGCCTCTTAAGTTTTGAGTGTGGCTTTGCGTAGCTGATGAGTAAGACTTCTGGATTGTGACAGCACAGGTATGTTTCTTTCCAGTAGTAGCTTATTCACAGGTCAGTGTTTGTTCAAGCTGTGGTAGTATTTCAAGATAAGGTTTCCCCGGTTTTCATACAGTTGCCTGATAAAAATAAAAACTAGGTTATAAGAAACAGAGTAAACATTGCTGCTTAATTCATGTGTAGCTTTATCTCATTTGCAGCTTGGTGATGCTTGTGTAGCTTCATGAAGTTCTCTCTTTTTACAGGCTAGATAGGAAGGCTAAGCTGTTCAGTGTTTTGATTCAAAAGTACTGGTGTTTTCCAGGTTTCATGCTGAGGGGTACAAAAATGTTATGACTGCTTAATAGGCCACACTATAACTGAGTAAAGGAGCTTTCAGCCAGCCCTGTTCTGTACATTGTTTTAGTGAATGCTGCTTGTTTTAATACATGCTGTGTGTTCTTCATTAGTATTTAGAGACACAACATGTGTGTGTTGCTGTAGCATAGACATGGTGTGCTGATTTTGGTCAGGACAGAGTTAACTTTCATCACAGTGGCTGGTATGAAGCTAGGTTTTTTTGAATTTGCATCAAGAATAATACTGATAAAATGGTTTTTAGTTGGTGCTAGGGAGTACTTGCACCAGCCTGAAAGACTTTTTCAGCTTCTAATACTGCAGCTGTGTTCCCAACTTTGTCATTACAAGCAGTGTGTGTGGAGAGACACACAGTTCAGACAGCTTACCCTAACTGAAGGAGTATTTGATTCCATAGCACGTCATGCTCAGTACATAAGTGGGGAGTGGGCTGGGGGGCCATAACTCTTTTGTTAACTCCTTTGCTACCTCTTTTGCTAGTTGCTTAGCTCCTTTGCTAGCTGCTTAGCTTGCCCATTCGTTTGTGAGTTGGTGGGTCAGTTGGCTTTCCCAGTTGTGCTGTCACTCGTGAGGCTTGCTCAGGCTGCTGCAATTGCCCTCAGACGCTTGCTGCTCATGACCTGGCTATGTCAGTTGAAGGGTGGTGAGCAATTGTTGCATATATTCTAGCTTATATAAATTTAATTACTTAGTGGCATCATTGGTGGTGTTGGTATTACTATAATATTATGTTCAATTATTTAATAGTTTTTGTCTTAATTTGTGAGCTTCCATGTCTTTCTCAGCAATTCTCCTCCTCCGCTGGAGGAGGCAGGGGAGGTGTGCGAGCAGCTGCGTGGTACTTTAATGCTAGCCGAGGTTAAACCGTGACATGTGGGAACATAGTATTGACTGTTGAATCATTGTGTCCAAAGCTTCAAAACTGTAGGAGGCTATGCAGCAGGTGTCTAACCGCTAGAATGCTTGTTGCCATGGTCTGAGTAATTGTCCAATGAGTTATTTCAAACGTAGTCTGTAACAAAAGCTGCCAAGTCACATATGTAATATGTGAAAAAGCAATAGGAAGAGTGAAGAGCAGACTACATACTAGTATTTTTAAATAAAATGCACTTTTTAAAGGTTATTGTGAAATTTACCTGTCTTATATCAACACTGAAACAACGTGCTTTCACTTTCTATAGTGCATTTTCACTGCTTGGGCCAAGGTGCACAAAAATCATTAAATTATGAATTGATAAATGCATTATTGGTCTGTAAAATGACTAAAATGCAACGCTTTAACTTATGCTCTGGTGTGAGGTCTTTAATTTTCCAGTGTCCTCTTAATAGCTAAAAATGTCTCTTTTTGGAATGTTTCTGAATGCTGTCTTGTATTAAGCTACGTTGTGTTATCTTTATAATACCAACTATTTATCAAGTCCTGCAGTGATAACCATGAAGCTTCAGTTACTCTTGCAATGAGCTTTTAGTCTAAACTGACACTTAATAGGATAATGGAGAAGTGGATGTGGAACAATGATTAGTGTTGTGTGTTGTTTTGGGTTTTTTTAAATGACAACTTCCATGGCAGTCATGGCTTTTAGCAAGGTTGTAGTATATGAGTAAGGTTTTTCCCTAGTAAACAGTTGTTTTTCATTGGAAGAAGAATGGCTGTTCTTGTTTCATAGAATGGTTAGGGTTGGAAGGGACCTTAAAGATCATCTAGTTCCAACCCCCCTGCCATGGGCAGGGACACCTTGCACTAGACCAGGTTGCTCAAAGCCACATCCACATCATCAACATGCAAACCCCTCTGAAGACCCTCTCCCCCCTCTATCAGAAACATACTATGTAAATTATGAATAGGATGAAGACAGGTTCTTAAAGAAATTGCAGCTGTCAGTCTTAAATTGACTTGTCTTCTAAGGGACTTCAGAAGCTCTATAATATGTGATCAGAGCAAAAACCACTTTATCTTGCAGGATGGAATTGCCTTTGGATAATGAGCAACTTACCAGACCATCCTATATTACTAGTGTTGAGCTGCCTCAACGAACAGGACTAGTAAGTGTGGAAGATATTAAAGCAGATCTCTCTGCTGACTTTTCTTCAGTTTCTTCAAGCTCAGACACAAGCCAGGTAACAAAGCTTTAATGTTTGCATTGTTGGGATTTTTTTTTTTAATTAAATAAGTTCTGTCTCTTCATCAAAAAGAATAATCAGAATTTTACAGAGAAGGTGAAAAGCATGTTTTTAGCATCTTTGTTTTTAATATGGAGGTGATACATAGGATTAGACTACGTTGTGTGGCACTACACTGATACCTTGTTGGGTGCATCAGTCTTTAGTGAATGAGCCTAATAGCCGGTTCAGAGCAGCGTAATTATAGGATGTTTTTGTGACTTTCATTCTTGATCTCTACTTGGCATGAATGTAGTGTATGTATATCTGTGCTGCAAGATTATTGAGTTATCACAGTGAAGGGGCCTAAGCACTTGCAAAAACTGATGTGAAATACTTTTGCTTCCCATGTCAATAAGGCTGTTCAAAATAGCATGCTAAGGCAGTTGGCTTTCAAATAAAGAATCTAGTGAAATTTTTAACTTTTTTTTTGTTGTTTAAATTTAAGGGGAGCAGTTTGGAGTCCAAGGGACACATACAAGTTTGCCTGCGTATTAGGCCATTTACATCGTTGGAAAGAGAAAATGAATTGCAGGTGTGATGTTTGTTTAGTTTTAAAATATTTCTGGTGTATGGGTGGTTTCTCTTTTTTCCTCTAAGCTGAGCTTTTATACTCTTTTTATACCTTCATTGCTTTGTTTCATTTTAATAGGACTGTGTTTCACTTGAAGATTCAACAAGCATCATACTGAAGGCACCTAAAAACTCTTGGAATCGACTAAGTGAAAAAACTGCTGGACAGATGATACAGAAGTTCACTTTTTCACGAGTAAATGAATTGTCGTCTTTTAAAAGAAGACATTTTTTATTTATTCCTGGAATAAGTTGTTTAAGTTATATCATTTGATGCCAAGCAAACTAGATTTTATTTTTTTAAAATGTTGATAGTCTTTAAGATTATAAACATACAGAATTTAAGTCTCTAATGTTTGCTTAAGCAAAATAAAAATGTTTCTTGGTAATGCTCAGGTGTTTGGACCTGAAACAACTCAAAAAGAATTCTTCGAAGGTACCATGAAGCAACTAGTACAAGATTTCTTAGATGGATATAATCGTCTGATTTTTACATACGGCTCAACAAATGCTGGGAAAACCTACACATTTCAAGGTATGATTACAAATGTGCTCTCCATTAATGAACTTGCCTTTTTTTGAGTGATGATTACTTCTAGTAGGAATACAACTTTTTCCTTTATTTAAACGGCCCTATGCACTTGCTTCTCTTGAATGTTAACAAGTAGCCTTTGAAAGTCTCCTTCCATAAAAAATAACACTAAACTGACAACAGACAGTCACAGTCAGAGTTTACATAAACATATAGTGATATTGCTTTGTAAAGCTGTATTAACTTCAGCTGCATGTGTGTGACTTTCACCACCCCCACCCCACCAAGTATCTAGAATGTCAGGGAGGAGGGGGAGTTAGGAAAATACTTGTCACATCCTGTTATATAGAAAATATATTTGAGTTGCTCTACATCAGACTGGTATTTTGTTATTTTTTATTATTATAAAGGTTATATGTGTTGTCTTCTATTACAGGCTTGAATACTATTCTGTATCAATTTTTATAGGCAGAGAATAAACTTTTTGAAACATGTTTGACTTCCACGTATTTCTGTTTTGTCTCAAGTTTCTGAGCTTATTGATAATATCCTAGGAGACCTCGCTCCTCATTACACTGTTCTGTAATGTTAGTTAAATATATTTTTTGGTCAGATTATGTCATTCTTTCATTATTTCTGAAAGCATTTTAACAACCAAGGTGACTTGATTCACATCCAAACAATTTATCCAATAATGAAATGGCAGTGTAGATGCTATACTGATTTTTTTTTTTAATACGCAAAAGTAGTAGGACACGGAATTTTGTGCCATGTGAAACTGATCTTTATTGAAGTGACATTGTATTTTAAGTTATCTTATGTTAGGTGGTTTATAGCTGAAGACTACTACTAGTACTTTTGGTTGTCATTAATCTGAGGCAATAATGGGATACTCTTTTGTGTCCTAATAAGTAATAGATAAATAACAAAACTCCAAATTCCTAAAATGCTCAGTCTTATATCCTTGACTACTTTGGGTTATATTGTGTGGTGTGATGATTTTTTTTGTTTGTTTGTTTTTCCCTGCCCCATCCAACCCATCCCAAGAATTTTTTGATTCATGTCTCTTCAGACTCCAGAGATGTTTTCATGGTATTATATTTTTTTTTTAGGATGTAACTATCGACTTGCGGTAGGACTTGGCAGGGCAGATTGCCTACTGGATGCCATGATTTCTTCTTCTGTTATTCCCTGTATTGTCTATGTAACCTTCCAACTTCGGCATTACATAGAATCCTGTATCCTGGCAAAGGACTTAAGTGAAGGATGATGCAGGTTTTTATGACTGGTCATTGTTCACCAGTGACTGTTAATTCATAGAATTATAGAATGGTTTGGGTTGGAAGAGACCTTAAAGACCATCTAGTTCCAACCCCCCTGCCATGGGCAGGGACACCTTGTGCTAGACAGGGTTGCTCAAAGCCTCGTCCAGCCTGGCCTTGAACACTTCCAGGGATGGGGCATCCACAGCTTCTCTGGGCAACCTGTTCCAGTGCCTCACCACCCTCTCCGTGAAGAACTTCTTCCTGATATCCCATCTAAACCTTCCCACTTTCAGTTTAAACCTATTACCCCTGGCCCTGTCACTCCAGGTCCTTGTAAAAAGTACCCCCCCAGCTTCCTTGTAGCCCCCTTCAGGTACTGGAAGGCTGCAATAAGGTCTTCCCAGAGTCTCCTTTTCTCCAGGCTGAACAAGCGCAATACTCTCCAATTCAATTAAACACAAACAAAACACGTGGCATTATAATTGTTTTTTGTTTATTGAAGGAGGAGATGAGGAGAAACAAATGTAATGCAACAGTGTTTTAATGTGTTGTTTGGTTACTAGCTTTGTGTTTTGGTGCCAACCAGATTTTAACAGAGGTTCTTACTTTGGCAACACAGCTTTAACTGATATAAGTCCATCTGTTTGAGTAGGAGAAATTATCAGAAGCTGGAAGATGATGCTGTCAGAGTCTGAGACAGGACAGTAGTTTCCCTTCTACTCTTCTCGCTCCCTTTCTTCCCTCTGATTTAGAAATCAAAGTTAAGTGAACCCTTTTTAAACTGCATCTGGATGTAGAAAGATCAAGCATGCCCTGAGGCTTTTTATTTGACTCCTTTTTGCCTTTTGGGTGCAAAAGTAGTATGCTGTGAGAAAACGGTCTTGGATAGGGAAAGGGATGTCTTCACAGGGCTTCTAGAATTTTGTTTTGTAGTCTGTGGAATTAGCACAGGACTGCAGCTGAGACATCAGTGTTCAGTTGTATTTCAAGGTTACTGCCTTGAGAGAAAGAGAGTGAAGGCAGCCTATGAAATGCAACTGAAAAACTGCAAACCTCTATTAAATGTCTGTTCGTTGTGGTTTGCCTTTTTCCTTTAAGGCTAAGCTTATGTAGAATACCCAAGCGTTTTTTTTGGTATGCCCCTTACAGTCTAAGGGGTAGAGCATGAGTTGTTGCCGAAAGCTAAATACCTTTCACAACACTAACGACACTCCTGTTACTTTGAGAATACAGGAATCCCTGTACTACTTCCTGTGTAAGTGGCCTCCAAATTCCTTGTGTAAGCCTTGAGATTAGAAATGTTTATTTTTATGCCTTTATTTATCCATATACTTTGTTCACAGTAGTAATTAGGATCTTTCTTTTGTATGTTGCTTACAGGGACAGAAGATGATGTTGGTATTCTGCCAAGGGCTATGGATATGTTGTTTAAAAGTACTCAAGGAAAGCTATACACAGCAATGGATTTCAAACCCCACCGGTGTAGAGATTACATAAAGCTGACTAAAGACCAAGTGAGAGAAGAAACTGCTATTAAAAATTCAATACTTCGCCTGACAAAAGAGGTAGAGGAGCACTTCTTTCTATACTAATAGGTGCATACATCTTTTTGGATAGCTCAGGGTTGCCCTGTTCATTCTTCAATGGGAAGAGACTGTATTTAATCATGGCTGTGTCTATTTGCAGTCAGTCACCTATTTAGATTAGCAGTAGAGAGAAATAGAGCTGATTAACCTTTTCTCCTGTGGATTTCTGTCCTTACTGAATACTTGATAAGATGTGAACTCTAAGCATTTTTTTTCTTATAGCTTGGGCACTCCATAATTTATCCTCTGGTGTTACTCATGCTTAATAAGGATTGAATGCATATAGTCTCCATCTGTGGGGGATGCTAGTACGTCTGCCCCTTCATACAATTTACTGTCTTTCAGGATGCCTGAAAGTACTGATTTTGAGGTTGTTCTTTCAATTTGGCAAATATCCTCAAGGGAAGGGAAAAAAAGATGGGTCTGTTTGTTTGTTTGGTTTTGTTTTTTGAAACGGGAGCTATGAAGCCCATGGACTTCTAAAGATTTGAATTAGAATGGGTTTCTGCTGGACTTCATTCTTAAACAGATCGCTGTTGAGCAGTCCAGAAATACTTCAGTTTCATGAGTTGCCTAGAATTCTAAAGCTGTTTAGGCAATTACAGTTATGGAGGATTTGCATTTTGTATAAGCATACTTTTGTCTTGGTGGTTTTAAATCTGAAATGTATGGAAAAATAGAAAAAAAACCTGAGCATATGCTCGGAATTGAAACTAGAAAGGGATTATTCTGCTTATCTTTAATGAAAAGAACTAAGCATTTCCCTAGTGCTATTCTAGGTTATAATGGGGTGTTCTGGTCATTATGGGATGGAATATAATCTGTTACCTTGATTTTTATCCAAGTTAGTTAACTGGACTTCTCCAGTGTGGAAGGCAGGTGGCAGCAAAATTCTTCAAAACCACAGGCATAGTTAAATCTAGCTCTAGCAGCATTTAATGACTTCAGAAAAACCTGTCATGTATGTGTGCTTGAATACACCTATGTACCTTCCAGTTGCTAAAACTGTGGTTATAAACAGCTTATGAATTTGGTGGCAAAGTTTGCATCTGCATCAAGAGAGACAGGTTTGGGTGAGTTTTTGTATATGTAAAGCTTAAACCTAAAGGTTTCAATTGCATACATATTTAACTATTTCAGCAATCACTCTATGGAATCCTGGCTTTATATGAAATATACTCTTGACCAAGCATTAAAGAAACCCAGCCCAAACCACACCTGTTTTTTAGTCCATGTTTTGTCTCTTAGGAATACTGATTTTGATAGATAAGTTGTACTTCTATGTAGTTCTGTGCCTAAAAAAATCAACAAAACAGAATGAGGTGTATGTGTATGAACCTCAAATTCTCGCTGTAAGGATTTATTTTACCTTTTTAAAAGAGCTCAGCACAAGAAAATCTTCCTTTTCTTTCTAAAACCTAGTCTTTGTTTGAAGTGTGAAAGGTTTCTACAGCCTGTATCATGAAGCAATAAGCTGCACATTTCATTTCTTAGTTTTACAAGCATTCTAAGTTTATCTCTGTTTCCAAGGGTTGACCTGGTAGGCCAGAAGATATGGATCCCAATCAGCAGAATACCAATAAAAAATTTCAGGACTAGAAACTAGTCCTGAAGGACATGAACTAGGCATGATGTGTAAGCCAGGACTTTTGCACTGCCTTATTGCAACTATGCTATATTCCTATCTAGTAGGACAACAGAGCTGTTAGAGAAGTAACTGGTAATGTACTGTAAACAACAGATCTTAAAGTCTCTATTCTCTTTTGTAGGTTGACCATCAAAATAGCACTGACAACACAGCATCTGATTCTAACGGTATGTTTTATATAAAAGATTTGCAATTAAAGCTGGCAAAGGAGCTTTCTTATAGGCCAGAAGTGAGTTATTTGCCTTGTTAACAATAAAATGATTACTTGGCACTTTTCTGCCCAGATAACTTTCTCACTATACAATTCACAGGCATATAAAACACAAGGATAAAATGGCTAGAAAAACAGGTGTTAAACAAAACTGCAAGGAAAAGTAGTACTGCTTATGCTTTAGGCCCTAGTGGTATCCTGCTAGATGTTTAGAGTGCCTGTATGTAATTAGGTAAACCTAATTCTAGCATTTAAAAAAATGCCTAAATACTAGAATGAAATGTACTTGTCAGTTCAATTCTTTCTTCTAAACATATTGAAAAGGCTTGGATAATTCTAACCAAGTTGAACATGTTGGATAGAATTTGTAAACGGAAAAGAAAGTGGTAGAGTAGGTGTCTTGCAAATATGTAGGGTAAGCGTGTGACTTCCAGATACTCTAAGAAAGGGGGGGAAGTGTCAATGGATTTCTTGTCTAGGACAAATGTTCTTTTAGAATGCTGCTGTAATATCAATTTTCACTTACTAATTGTTTTTAAATTGAGTTTACTAGGCCTGTATTGACTTGTAATATCTTGTACTTGGCAGGTTTTGAAGAACTCTTAAAAGACTCAGAACAATCTAGCACAAATGTGAAAAATTACATGAAGTTTTCTGTTTGGGTTTCATTTTTTGAGATTTACAATGAATGTTTTTATGATCTACTGATTCCTATATCAAACGACAAGAAAAGAAAAACACTACGCCTTGCTCAAGACATCAAGGGATGTTCTTATGTGAAAGGTGATTAGAATACATTGTAAATTGCCAAATATCTATTTGAAAAGTCGGACTTCCTGTAATAATGTTTCTTTATAAATTAGAAAAAACTTCTGTGGCACTAGGAATGTCTACTTTGAGTAAGAAAGGCAACAACTTATGTACATAGAGGTATTTAATTTTAATAGTGTGGTTTTTTCCTTACTGATTTTAATTCTTAAATGAATGCATGTGCTCCACTGCCTTGATGTTTCTTTGAAATAGGAGAAATATTGAAAACAATTGACAATTTCTTTTCTTTAAGACTACGAAAGTTCTTTAGTTATAATTGGCTCAACAGTACTCCGTTTTTTTAATTTGCAGTAGACCAAAGACTTCAGAGAATATGTGAGAAAGCTCAGCCTGACTACAGATTACATTTTACAGTAGTATAGTTCAATCCAATCTGTAATGTAATTTGTTTTGGGTTGAGGGGTGTAGGGAGTTAGAATAACTGAAAATAACAGTTCAGTGTTAATTTCTAGCCACAGAAAAAATAGGTTTTGAAACCCATTTATTTGTTACAGGTTCTTTTGGACAATCAAGGTGCACCGATTCTAGATTAAAGACTTTTGTAGGTGTTTGGCCTGCTGCTTTTATCTTTCATGTGCCAAACTATATTGTCCAATTCAGCTTTTTGAATCTATAAACCTAAGACCCTTCATTTCTTCAAAGACTGGGAAGTGTGTGAAGTTAGTAACAGTCTGCTTTGAGCTATGTGTAAGCATAATGTTTTTTGATAAAGTTTGGAAGTGTAAGGCTGTTCCTGGTTCCTGATGTTATTGAGGAAAACAATTATTTTCTTGTTTTTCTTGGTTACAGCTGCTATGTGTTTTCTAGTACAATTTTGGTGATCTCTAGTTTAGCAGGAGCCTTAATGTTCATATTGCAAGTTTTATTAGTAGAGTTGTAGGTATTTAGCACGTACTAAGATGACACAGTTGTCATATCGCAGACAAAATTCTTCATTGATCTTTTCCAGTGAAGTTGATGGGCCTGAAAGATACCCAGATGGGTTTTGGTTGGTTGTTTGGCTTTTTTTCTCTCACAATTGTAGGCTAAACCAGAGAAGCTGTTTAGGTAGAATTCTGCCTTGATGAACATGAGCATATGGATTTCATTTTCATTTCATTAGACGCTAGATTTTGGCTTTCAGTGCTCAGGCTAAGGTTACTCACTTAATTTGGATGGAACATATTTTAGTGTGCTAATAAGATGAAATTATGTCATATACTTGTCTTTCCTTTCCCATGGAAGCAGGAATCTTGCTCCTATTTGCCATCATATAACTTGTATCTGAAGCAGGCATAGTGTCTCAAGTAAATGTGTGTCTCAAGTAAATGTATTATTCTTGGTGTGCATATATTATCTCCGAAATCCCCTCTTTCTTTTTGATAATGATATTAACAACATTATCATGTTTTTTTCTTCTTAAAGATCTGCAGTGGGTTCAGATTTCTGATTCTAAAGAAGCTTTTAGACTTCTGAAAGCGGGGTTGAAACAGCAGAGTATTGCAAGCACGAAACTAAATACTTGCTCCAGCAGAAGGTGAGAAACATTTTTGAGTAACATTGGGCATAGGATAGTGTGTAGGAGGAAGGAGAAATTAAAATATAGCTTGTGGCTTTTAGGAGGAGAAGAGGCCTTAAGGTCTAGATAACTAGGTTTCAGTTCTGGTATCCTTTAGCAGTATGTGACCCAATGCTTTCAGCCAGAAGGATTTAGTACTTCAGAAAGATGCATGTGTACAAAAGCTAACAGCATTTTATCAAATACTCTCAAGCAAAAGCAATTAGCTTTATTCCATCTAAATGTCTGAGGAAAAGCAAAATAAGAGCTACTTAAAGATGTCTTTAAAAGTTTGTATCTGATGGATTATATGCTTAGCTATGCTGACAGATTCAGCAACATTTTGAACAGATGTTATGGAGGCTAAAAATATTTTTAAGGTGTTGGTCTATTTTATCACTTCTCTGCTGACTTAAACTTCTCCTTTTAGTCATAGCATATTCACAGTTAAAATACTAACAATTGAAGATTCAGGAGCTCTACGAGTGACCAGAGTCAATGAGTAAGTTCAGAGCACGGTCCCCCACTCTTTTGTGATGAAGTTGTCAATTATCTTCCATGATAGTGCTGGTACTGTGCTTAGACACCAGTACTCTCTGGTAGACCCTCATGCATGTATGATGGTTTCCCCACTTTCTGCATACAAAAAGTACTTGGCTCTCTACCTCAAGCCATCAAGTTGCAATGCGTTTCTATATCTTGTCCCCTCTGTTCAGACCCAGGTTCTGCTAGCCTGCTATACTTCTGAACTCACATAAGTCCTTAGGAAGAAGAGGATGGGGGGCTATGGATAAGTCCTTAGGAAGAAGAGGATGGGGGGCTATGGGGTGGAATGGGAAGCCCATTGGTGAAATGTTTGGCAGGAAGTAGTGGGAAATCTTGCAAAAAATAGAAGGGTTCATGCACATGAAGATCAAAAAATTTCTCTTCTGAGACAAAAGAAATTTAAAAAAAAAAGTGAACTACTTGTGTGTGTTCTAAGGTAGAAAAACTTAATTTTCCTTATCTGCTTTCAGATTGTTGATTTGTGATCTTGCTGGTTCAGAAAGAAATACCAAGACACGCAATGAAGGTGATAGGTTGAAAGAGAGTGGAAATATAAACACTTCTCTCCTTACTCTAGGCAAGTGTATTAATGCACTCAAGCACTGTCAACAGTCAAAGTAAGTCCTTTTGAGTTGCAAACTGGGTTGTGGTTTTTACGTATTGCATACAATGTTTAAAAGCTGTTATTTAAAATATATAATGTTAATACTAAGTTTTTGTTAGAAAAGGATATATATACTTATAAAGCCTATACTGTGAATTCTTGATGATCTACCAAAGTTATCTTTAAACTTGCCTTGTTTTGCTCTTTTAAATTATTCTAGTTCCAAAATCCTTTAAACATATCTTCATAGACTTTAACAATTTAACTTTCTGCTGATCTTGAATTATCAAACAAATTTGAAAAGGTTTAAAACACCCTTTCACCAGTGTCATAGTAAGAGCCAAATTTTCAGCCTTTTACTACACCTTTGTGAACTAACTCCACTTTCTATGTACTTCGTGTACTATCTTTCAACAGCAGGATATTGCTCTGCTACGGTAACTGCACTCTTAGACGAAGTTTGTCAGTGTGTTGGTTTTTTTTCTAAATCTTGACATAACTTTAACACTCTCCTCCTGAGCTAGCTAACCATATGCAGACAAAAGAAAGCCTTCCCCATTATTTATGCTCTAGCTTGGGGATCTAAATAAGAGTAAAATGATACGAAGTTAACTGTCAAAAAACAGTACACTGTTTAAGCACAGCTGGATGCAACTGTCCTGGAGCTGCTTTCTCCACAGGTTCATTTGAAGATCTATTTCTGTCCCAGAAGTGAAGTTAACTCAGTCTGCTGATTTGATATGCCTGGATGTGCTTTGCCTAATTTACTCTACCCCATAATGCTGTTCCTGATAGCCTATTCAGAGTCTATCGCACCTTAAGTTGAAAAGCTTTGCTAGCATGCATTCCTGATTAACCCTATGTTTTGTGAATTTATGGTCTTTATTATCTTCCTGATCTTTCCAGATAGGAAGGATGCATTAAAACTAGAGCTACTTAGAGGGCTGTTAATGTATTCAGACTGTCTTTTTCTGATCCTTATACCACGGAGTTTTAACAGCATAGAAGGAAATGTTCTGAAATATGATCTTTTAAAGTGTTAATAGGTGCCTCTTGCAAGTTGAATGGAAAGCAGTAACTTTTCTTGAAAGGATTCTTGCTTCAGTCCTGAAGGAAAGCTACTTACATATACGTGTTCTGGCAGGAGTGTTGTTTTCTTGCAGAATATTGTAGCACTATTCATATAACTGAATATCTAAAATGCAGGCAATCTATTCAGTGGCAAGTGTGTGTTTAGTCACTTCTAGGAAAGTTCAAAAAACTTCCTATAAGCATCAAAACCTACACCACCAGCTGTTAAATTCAGGGGCACAACTTCTGGTTTAGGAAATGCTAAACTGGTGAGGATTAGGAAAAAAGTTGTGAGAAATATCTCCATGTATTTGGTTTATACTCGTTTTCTTGCTTAGGTACTTGCTATTGTCTATTCTCAGAGGCAGGATACTGAGTGAGAGATCTCCTGATAAAGTTGGAAACTGCATGCCTAGAACTAGATATGTCCTTTTCATGAATGTGGAAAGGAAGAGAGAAGGGTGGGGTATAGTTTGATGCATCATGAGGCTATTTACCCTAAGCTAAATGTAGAACATGCTTTTGGTTTAAGTACTCCCATTGATTGTATTGCTATAGCCTGTCTGAGATAACAGCTAAAGCAGCAGTCACAACAGTCATGCAATCTCTTCACAAGCAGCTGTATCTAGTCCAAGCCAAGTGATTTAGACTACTGCTTTTATAAATACTTTTGTCTTCAGGCTGGATAGCTCTTAATACTAACCAGAAATTACTAAACTTCTGGTCATCTGTTCTTTTGTCTCTAAAGGTTGCAGCAGCACATACCCTTTCGGGAAAGTAAGTTAACTCATTTTCTTCAAGGATTCTTCAGTGGAAAGGGAAAAATATACATGATAGTCAACATAAGCCAGTGTGCTTCACTGTATGATGAAACACTCAATGTTCTAAAGTTCTCGGCCATTGCACAAAAAGTAAGTGTGTTGTAGTTTATTTTGTTGATCAGTACTTAGGATTTGCATTTAAAAAGCAGGTTTTCTCACTTATAAGAACATTAACTCAGTAACTGGATTCTTCTGTCGCAATCATATTTTCTAATTACTTCTAATATCATTACTCCCTTGTAAAGATTTTAAAAAGGCTTTGTTGGAACTTCTTTGTCCCAACAACGTTTAGCCTAACATGGTATTTGGCTATATTTGGAAGAAATTAGCCAAGATCTAGGTAACCTTTTCTTATGCTCTCACCTAGGAACAGTTCTAGCTGCCCTTTTAAACTACTGCTATCTTAATTTGGAATATTGCTCAGCTGAAATATTGATAAAATAGGTTGAGCACCAGAGAGTTTGAAAGGTCATCTCTGTGTCCATGGAGGGTGAAGGTTAAGCAGAATGAGTAGTTAAATGCAGTTATATAACAGTGGTGAAGTTGGAAGGCTAAAGCACTGGGAATCGGTGCTACAGCCTTAACAGAAGATATGGAAAACTTCTATTGACAGTTACCTTATGTTCAAAGGACACTAGATTCATTCCTTTGGGATATGGGCTCATCTAAGCAGGCTAAACACAGCACTAAAGGTGCAAAGGTGATACAGCTGATCAAGAAATAGAATTTTTAGGATGACATTCTTCTAACACAGCTAGAAACTCAGAGTATAGTAAGGGCAGAAATCTCTTGGTGCATGAGGTGGCAACCCTCTTGTAGGTTGTCAAGCTAGAGGAAACGGTGTTCTTGGGTTGAAAATAAGGGTTAGACTATACAGTGACTTCTCTATAGTCAAGCTGGGAACTGGTTTAAGTAATGACTCTGAAGAAGAGATAGGCAGAGGGAGTACTATGCTCAAGACACCTCTAGGAAAGTGTAACAGGTACTTCTTGGAAGTGCCAGTAGAGGTTTAAAAACACTTTGTTCTTGATTTTTCTGTGTAGGTTTTAGTTATGGATGCATCTATTCTTCCCCAAGATCAGTCATTTGGCCATAAATCAGCAAAAGAAGCATCACTGATTAATGATGCTAAAATGCCAATTCCAAGGAAAAGAGCTACTATCTTATGGGACAGGAGCTTAGAAGATGTGATTGAAGATGATGACGATGAGATGGAGGAAGAGCATAATATGTCAAGAGAAGAAACAGTGCAGAACCTAGAAGAAAAAGTTGTTATTGGCAAAGAAGGATATATGGTATGTGCCAGGGCTACTTTAAGGTTTAGTGTAGTATGGAGTCTTGAAGCAAGGTGGTATTCTCCCAGTTTCCCCCATCTCTCACTATATTTTTTTTTCTTATTACCCTTATCCTACCTCAATCCAGCATCAAGAACTAAAAGTGGGATTACTCATGATTTAATGCTCAGTCTGCATTTAGACATATTTCATAGTTTTCCCACAACAGGCACTAAGAGTTGCAAATTTGGCTTTCTTTCCATTTGGTAACCTATGGTCAATGCATAGCAAGCAATAGCTGGCTTTTAGCAATACAGAAAAGTGTTCTTCTGTGTTCTGTGCCCAGGAAAAGTCTGAAAACTGTTCTTCAAGGAACAGCGATTTTGTCACTTCTAGGGGAGACAAGGAGGGGGGAACAGCAGACTAAAGCCTATTTTGTTGTGATTTCATTAATAATGCCACACAAATGAGCACCTAGAAAACAAAAGCCAAGTCCTGTGGAGCTTAAGCCTGTTTAAGCCCACTTCAAGAATTCTTGTAATAAACTTCATGTTCTTTGCAAATGCCTACTCTGTGCTAAGTGGTACCAGCAGAGAAATGTATAAAACAGGTATTTCAGTCTATTCGTGAATCTTCCTGTTTATGAATAAGCTAAGAAAAGAACTGGAAGAAGTTTTGCCATCTGGAAGAGTAAAGTGGTGTTGTAGTGTCTGAGGAATGGAGGGGGAGGGGTGGAATCTCACTCTGGGAAACTATTTCTCTATGAAAAACTTAATACTAACGGTAATTCTAGGTGCTGCTGAATCTCATAGAAGAGCTGAAGAACAAACTTATTACTGAAAAGAAGGATAAGTTAATGCTGGAACTAAAAATTCGTGAAGAAGTGACACAAGAATTTGCCCAATACTTTGCTGAGCGGGAAATAGATTTCAAGTAAGCTAGCTTTAAGTGGTTTTAAAGTTACCTTGTAAAAAGTAAATAAATTCATTTATTTCTTAAATCTGTCTCTTAGCCACAAAAGACCACGCTCTTCTGCTAATTTAATATACTAGTTTGTTTGGACTATGAATTTGGGAAAAATACTGTGTAAGAAAGGCTTTGATTTTTGTGGTGGGTAGGGATGTGTGCCTGGAATCTGTGAGCAGGGATTTGTTCCTGTAGAGCTTTCCCAAAGAGAAGAGCTTTGTTGATAGGATGTCTATAGAAACAGTGACACCTGCAAACTTCTTTGTTTTTTGCAGTCTTGGTCATACTCCAAACATGTATTCTGACTCAAGAAGCTTAGGAAAAAATGCTTTTAGTTAAGCACTATCCATAATGTGTGTACAGATTTCTCTCTCATTCTTCGCAGAGGTGTGTGTGGGAAATTTACTGCTGTTTTAGTGTAGCAACACTTTTATGTTTTTCTATTGTGCCAAAATAAAGGAAAGAAAATCATCTTTGTTTATAGGCAGCTGTACTAATAACCTAGCAGCTCATACTGGCTAGCTTTCAGCTGACTTATTTTTATTACGATAGAGAATGCCTTTCTCAAGAACGAGAGCGGCTTGAAGAAAATTCGGAAAGACGCCTGGAAATCTTCAAGGAACTTGTAAATAGTTCTACTAAAAATGTAGATGAAGAAAAGAAATTAAAGGATCGGCCTTGCAGTGAACAAGCTGGACTTCCGGTAATTTTATCTGTGTCCCCTCCTCAATAACATCTCTTTTACTAACTACCTGTTATGGTGATGGTATATCTCAGGAATTAGAAGGGTGGTTTCAAGGAATTGCATGCCATGTATCTGTATGCTTAGCAAGATATAATTATCACATATAATAGGAGTTGTTGCTGAGCCTCCAGTATACTTTTGAGAATTTCTGGCATTTTCTGCATTTCTGCAACACAGTGAAAATTACTGTATAAAAAGAAAATAGAGGAAAAACTGCAATTATGGTGTAAACTACATTGTATGAAGTTCCTGTTTAAAGTATGTGAAGTTGACCTCTTAGGCCCCATATATGGACTGAACTGGAATGGTCCCAGTGATGTCTTCACTCTTAAAGCTACTGTAGTTACAACTGAAACAATGAGACTTGTATATATGCTTAAGATGTAACTAGACTCTTAGAGGATGGCTTGAGTGAGTTTGGAGTCCTTTGCTTTTAAAAAAAAAAGAGAAAAGGTATAAAGTCAGTGCTTTGCATACAACTAAACTTGATTTACTACAAACTTCTTTCACCTCACAAACTTTCACTGATACAGGAAAACTTCAGATTAATTCCTTCTAAACTGTTCACTTGTTTATTCAGTGTTCTCATCGGGTAAAAAAAAACCCCTAGATTTTATATCAAATTTTGGAGGGGATGGATGCTTTTGCAAATTGCTCATGAACCCACAGGATGTCTTTTGAAACCAGATTTAACTTTACTTACGTTTGAGTTTGTAATGGCCTTCTGAATTTTCTGTAGGAATAATGACTGTTGTGTAATTATGTGCCATTTCTAAATGAATATAAATTATCTTTCAGGATGAAGAATATGGCCTAGGGCCAGGCATGCACATTGGTCTTGAGGGCATTATTGATTCTTTGCAGAATGATGTCACTGATATCAAAAAGCAGGCAGAAGAAGCATACCAATACATTGTGTCCCTGGGGGATCCACAGGAAGTTGTAAGTTGGCTTGAAAAAGAACTGGGGAAGGTTACCATTGAACTAACTAAGACCAAAGAAGACCTGACAAAGAAAACCAATGAACTACTCCAAGCTGAAGAAAAGCTGACACAGAAAACCAAAGGTGAGCTGGGTGTGTGATGTGAGAGGCAGAAAAAAGATGCCTCTCACAGAGGCATCTGTGAGATGTCTTTACAGACTGACTGTAAAGGAAAAAATACTTCAGTTAAGCAGGATTTTGGAACCAAATCATACGTAAGAAGTGGTAAACAATTCTTTTGCATATGTTCAGGGTGAACAATTCCACAAGCCCTGGTTATTAGAGAAAACTTAAAACTCTCAATTTCAGGCTTCACAGTTGTGAGGTAAAATGTCAGCATTATTAATTCTTGATTTAATTGTTATATTGTAATCTCCATGCTTATTTACATTTTGCTAATGCAGTGTTTTCAAGTATCCTGTGTAATGTTCATAGAGGAATAAGTAGTAATACCTCATGTTATTATTTGTGTAGAAGTCTCTTGGCACGATCTGTCTTACATGGGTTGCAAGGCCAAATTCTCCTATTCAAAAAGCCTAAACAACTTTTGAAATGTATCCTATAAATAGAAGTCAACATGAAAATAAATCAAAAAAATAAGTCAAAAGCTACTGATGTACCAGCAGATCTGGAAAAACGTAATAGAGACTAAACTGTGTAATGGCTGTTTATTTGATGCAGGTTTCTTTTCCTGTTACAGACTTTGAAATGCAGATGATGAAATTAGATGAGTCTAGTGAGCAGCTTAAAGAAGCAACTGAGGTAACTTTTCCAAGGAAAAAAATGTGCAAAATTTTCTTTAATACAAAATTATAGTAGCTTAAAAAGCTATTATTATATGCTTCTAGCTTTTTTTTTGTATCAAGCTTTGCCTGTCTGATTTTGTTTCGAAATGCATGGTATAGTTCAACAATTTAACACTCGCTGAACAACTATTCTTTCTTGTCCAAGAAAATGAATACACAGAATAAAAGGATTCAAGAATTAATGAACATGGTGGAGCAAAAAGATGATGCTATTATGAGACTTCAGGAATTGGTATCTTGTTTAGAAGAAACCATAAAAGACTATGTAAGTCTTGGGCATCTCAATTTTCCTTATACAAATATTTTAAATCTATGCTTGTAACAGACTTTCCTCAGAAAACTGAAATTTTCTGTAAGCAATTGCTACTTGCTTGAAATGGTAGCAAGTAAAACTGTCACTGAAACTAAAGTTACAGCAAAATGTGTGTGAGGATGTGTGAAAAATGGGACTTTTGGAGGTAGGGATATGGAGTTATTGGAGAACTGTGTATGAGACTCTGAAGGGGACACTCAAAAGAGGAAAAAAAACCTAAACCAAAAAACCCACAAAAATCCTTAAACTCTGAGGACTTAAGCAGTGGAAATAGAGGGACTATGTCATGGTCTATTTTTGCCTGAATGGAAGAGGAAGGAAAGGAGGTTTTGCTGCAGCAAAAAATCACATTTAAGTTAGAAGTTAATGTGAGGAGAACAGTGTAAACTGGCCAAAAAAAACCCCAAAACAGTGCATTCCACCCACCACTACCATGCACACACTTTCAAAGGAAGAACAATAATATGAACATACTGAGCAGAGTTTGAACTAAAAGTGGATGGCCAGGGTATCTTTGTTTTTGATGTGATTAATAAAACTTGCAACTAATTAATTTACTGCTGAATGCCAAAACAACTAGCTTGGCCAAATGTATACAGGTTAGAAAAAAATCGCAACAGGCAGTTATGTGTTTTTGAGCCTGATCTCATAACTACTATAGGTTACTGGAGAACATTTAAAATGAAACTTATTCAGCACTCTGATCCATTTCTCTCTCCCACTATAAACTTAAGGCTTTTACCATATCTCTGCTCTACAGCAAGTTAGCTTTTCAATAGTATGAACACTCCAAGAGTGATGAGTTGTGGTGACTGCTTCATATTACTACTCTTTCCGAGAGCAAGGCTTTGGCTCTGTCCAGTGTTTCTATGAGGCTGTGCGGCATGAAACTTAAAACATGACCACAAACCTCAAGTCTGTTCTACAGACTGTTGGGGTTTGTTTTTTGTGGGGTGGGTGGGGTGTTTTTTGTGGGTTTTTTTTCTTTGGGGTGGAGGGAGGGGAGTTTAAGTACTTAAGGATGAGTAATTTGTCCTTGGCAACCAGCAGGCCTTGCTAATTGTGTCATCCTGCAAGTAAAGGAACTTTATTCTTAGTCAAATATGTAGTCTAAAGTATGTATGACAGAACTGATGGGGCTTGCAAATTGCATGAGGTCTGCCATGATTAAAATGATCTGTGGCTTTGCTGAAGGCAATGAAAACACCTGACTATGCCAATTGTGCAAAGAAAGTGATGAAATTGAAGAGCTGAGCACTTGCCTTTTGGAAAAATCGAGAATTTCCTCAGCTCTTGGCACTTAAAATTGTTTTCAGGTGGTAAACAAACTGCTTTTACATGGAAGTTTTGTATTTTATAGTTTCCTGGTCTCTTGCTCTGTTTTTTGTACAGTGCAAAGCATTGTGCTTATTAGTATCCGAAGGTGTACCTGCTTTTGATTCAAGTAACTGATTAGTAACTGACTTGTTCCGACATCCCCTATACTCCCAGATAGTTTTGTAAAAATATTGAAATATGAAACACTAAGATGTTTAAGTGCTCACTTTGTGAAACTTGAAAGTAATTGCTCTTATTTTAACACAGGACAGCACTTTAACTACCATTAAAAGAAACTTGGCAGAAAACAACTCTAACAAAGTGATTGAAAGCAGACCATTGACGGATGGTGAGGAAGCTGTATTGGAAGTGGGACGAAAACGTTGCTTTGAAAATAAGCCTCCTGTGGAAAAAGAGCCACCTGCAAAGAAAGGTACAATTTCTACCATCACTCAACAGGGGTCTTTCAAAAAATCTTGGTTACTATTCCAGAACAGAAGCAAGAAGTTGTGAAGTGTAAACATTACATTAAACTGTAAATGGTTGTAACGGTTATGTAAATATGATCTGTCTTGCAGAAGCTCCTATACTGTTAATTCCTAATAATTAAAAGTTGGGTTTTTTACAGTCCTTCCTTTCTGCTGCTTTTTATCATCTGTTAATGTGTTTGCAGACTCAACTTTAGGTCTTTAAGCAATTTCTTGACCGTTGTTTTTGTACTAAACTTGCTGTTGCTGGACTTCTGGGGAAGTAGCATCTCATACTCAAGTTTTTTTTAAAATTGTCTAAGCAAGCATCAAAGGTGTTCAGTCATACAGTGTGTGCTGTGAAACTTGATGTTTCATTCTGTATGCATGCTGTGAACACACCAGCTCTGGTCAAGGTGACAGTGCTGGCAAAAGAGAAAAACTTTCCACCTGAAGGAATTTTAAGTCCACAGATGGCATTTTGTGCAGCTCTCACATTTTCACTGCCATCTTTTTGCTTTCCTTGCTTTATCTCTTTGCTTACCAGTCTTTTAAATTTAGAGTGAGGTGAATAAACTAGCTGCAGTCAAAGACCTTCAAGGATAAAGATGAAAATTAAAAGGGACACAACTACTGATGTTATCCATTTCATTGAAGTCTTAACCAATGAGATTTAGCTATATGGGACTGACTTGTGCAAAATGATCTTTGTAAGATCTGCCTGCATCTAGCTTGACTTCAGGACACAGCCGGCCTTCAGTTTCTCATAGAACTATAGGAGGCATATGCTAAAGGAGAACTAAAGCCTTCCCTTGGTGTCCCCTATTTTCTTGCTTCCTTCCTGCAGGATAGGTGCAAGTAAGACAATCTTCCAGGCATTGTCTGGGTGAGGATGGATTAGAAAAAAAGAGAAATGGTTAAAAAATGGGAAGCAGAAAATAGGTATCTCCATAAAGAGGGATAAAACATGTTATAAGAACACTTGTCAAATTCATGTGATCACAGAAGACTGAGGATACAAATGGTGAATAAGCCAAATGCTGGACTGTCAGTTACCACATTCTGCAGTGAAAGAACAAGCGAATACTACTTCTAGTAGAAGATCAGTTTAACTTTATAGAACAAAGCGCACCACGCAGTACTGAACTTCTAATAATTGCTGCCCTAGAAGGTGGGAGAAGCGGATAGTTCTCAGATTCCAGGAGTAGTTCCACACATTAACAGCCAACAGATTCATTCATAGATATTGAAAGGGTTAAGTAGGGATGTATTGTCTCATGTTCAGCCAGCATTCCCAATTGTTCTATATCAGGAGAGGTGTAGGAAGTGGCTGAGCCTACCAGCAGTAGCAAAATATTAGGCTAGATCAAGCAATGGTGTGTGTGTGATCCAGTAGAACACTTCTGATGGGTGTGCAACTTTGGTCAAATATGTGCCATTTGAAGTCTGTCTTAAGAGAAGCTTCTGTCTCTGTATCAGGCACATCTGATTTCTCTCCCATCTTTGGGATGAATATTGCATCCTAGTGTGGTCATTTGATGGTGCCATCTATATAAATGTTACAGGAAGGAAGTGGGAAATGCAACTGGTGTAAGCTCCTTAATATATCAGTAGTAAGTTTGTTAACAATCTCATGGCTGAAGCTCATTTAAACAATCAAAAAATATAAAAGTGATAGCTCTTCTCAAATAAGAAATTTAAGTGGAAAACAGTACCAATTAATGTTAGCACCAGGAGTTTTCTGTTGGGAAGAACAGGCTATCCAGTCATGTTAAATATATTCTCAATACCTACCAAAGAAACATAAAGGTATCTGATGTAAATACTGAGTTGTTAGATGCTCCATAATGATGAAATTTATTAACATATATACTTACATTTAATTGTTCTTGTTAAATGTACTTGGCACAGGAGAAAAATGAGCACAGCTATGCTGTGGTGGCTTTCTTGTAGAATTTACATATGCTAGTGGCCTATGACCAAAATTTATTTTTGGAGAAGGTGGGTTATCTTGTCTTGAAGTTCAGGTTTTTGTGTTCTCCAGGACTCTCCTCCCATGTTTTCAGGTGAGGCTATTTCTTAGTACTTCCTACAGGAAAAAAAAGTCTTCTGGACTGAATTTCATGTATCCTCTTGCACTAATAGTTATCCTGCATTGCTGCACTATTGTGGTTGTCAGTACAAAGCATCTAAATCCTTTTGCGAGTGATTATGCTCTTCTTATGGTAGGTGTTGGGCTAAGCTCAGCTACTTCTTTTTTATCTTGCTACCTCAGATTACAAAACATGTCTTGAGACACCTCAGCGCCTCTCCTGTTTAGTGAAGTATGTAAATTTTATGTCCAGTGTAAGGAATATGTAGTATTTTGTCTGATATGTTTACTTGGACTACACAAACTGGGCTTTCAGAGAAAGCCATCTCCCAGTTCAAAATTTTTAATCTTGTATTATTTAGAACTATGGCTTTACAAGCCAAAGTAAAACTGGTGTTGGGTCTGACCTAGCAGGAACACTTGATAGGTCTAATTAGAACAGAAAAAAGATACTTTTTTTCCTCCTGCTTTTCTGTATCCTGTGGCATTTAAGCACTTCAGAAATAATCAAAAAACAAAACCTGAGTAGAAACACCATTGCTAATGCTTCAGTATGACTTTTGGTTACTGATGCAAAGGTAGTGACTCTATAAAACTTGTTGGATCTGTTCAGAGGATGTTTCCATGTTCTCCAAGTGAGATGACTGCCAAACGCCACCTTACGGTATTTGCAGTACTTGCAAGAATCCACAGTGTCTCCCTGGAGTACGTAGCTGGGATGACCTGCCCTTAGAGACATTTAAGCATGATTTTGATACTAAAACAGGGCATGCATGTTACTAAATGGACACAGCTGGATTCTAAATGACTTGTGTGAAATCCAGATGGAGTCAATTCTGAAGGTGGTGAAATGCATGTGATTTTAGGTAGAATGGCTTGTTACTTAGGGGAAAAAGCCTTGAGCTGATAAAGTACATGAAAATTTGGAGTTACGATGGAATGTTTTACATCCTTCTGGAAGATCTTTACATGCCACGCATTAGGTGTGGGCATAAATAGTTAACTTTATACTTAGTTTGGTAACTAATAGGGAAAAAAAAAGGAAGGTCCCAAACACTAAGCGAAAAACTGTGCTGGATTTTTAGCTTTTAAAGTTAAGTGGCTATTGAGTATGAAATAAATTCCTCATAAAGGTGTATGTTACCAGCACTCTCCTAAATGTAGAGTGGGTGATTTCTGGCTGTGCTAAGGGGATTGTTGAACCATTGAAGGTGGAAATTGGGTATAATTGTAAATGTTACCTAGCACTAATATATATTATATGTATTAGTAAAACTAGCTAGATTTTTCTATTGGTGGTGCAGGGTTGAAGACTGGAATAGAGCTATTGGAAAACTGTTCTTTAAGGCTCCCGAATGCCTCTTGCTGCAAACTATATCTAGAAGCCTAAGAGGCACCTATTGCATGTTAAACTGTTCAGAGACCTTCAATGACTTCAAGACTTCTGATGGTTACCATTTTCCATATAGTAATTGCTATTTGGTATTGTTAGCCACCCATCCTACTGCTTTTAATCAACTTGTACTGCATGGTTTTGGTTTTTCTTTTTCTTTTTTAGGAGATATGGAGAGTGGGGAAGATGACTCGTTAGAGCTACAGAGAACTGAATATGTAAAAACAAATACCTCAAACTATGCAGAAATACTAGCACTGAAGGAGAGAACCAAAATCTTGGAAGGTCAGCTAGCTGCACTTGAAGAACAATGCAGAAGAGAAAAAAACGAAAAAGAGGAGTTCAGTGGGCAGATAACAACATTGTATCTCAAGCTCTCTGCATCTGAAGAAAGGGCTTCTGGCTTAAATGAAGAACTTCAGCAGTGTCAAGCTGACTATCAAGAGATTGTTTCTGAATTGGACAAACAAAAAACTATAAATAGGGAACAAGAAGAAAAGGTTATTCAGCTAAATAATGAAGTAGAAAGTGCCAAACAAAATATAATTGATAAAGTGTCACAAATCAAAACAATGCAGTCCAAAGTAGATGAATTGTATAAATGTCACTTAGAATCTTATGCTATGGATGTTGATTTAGTTAATCTAAAGGGTTCCTTAGACTCTCAAAAACAGGAACCAGAGAGAGCTCAAATGAGCCCTGTATGCCTGCAGTCCCAAACTACTTGTATGGCAGATCTGCCATGGGACAGTTCCTTTCAGTGCAGTGTTGAAAGCATTTGGGAAGAATGTAAAATTATTATTAAGGTTTCTTTACAAAAAAGTCAGCAGATTCAAGAACTACTTAAACAAGTTGAAGACTTAAAGAAAGGAATTGATGATGCTGAGAATTATAATAATCAACTAAAAGTGAAATTAAATGAGATTTCAAATCAAGATCATCAGTCCGTAAAGGAAAAGGATCTTATAAATCGGTTACAAGAGCAAATTGATAAGAAAACCCAGGATTTTGAAAAGCAGGCTGCAGAAGATCACAGAGTAATTGCACAGTTTGAGGAGGAAGTTGCCAGCTATAAGGGAAAAATAAGGGAGCTTGAATGCCTCATGGAGACTTTTAAAGCTAAAGATGACAGCATAACAAAGTTGGAAGAAGTACTTAAAGAAAAAGAGTCTATTATTTTAAATCTGGAAAGTAATGCAGTAGCTCTGCAAGCGAAATGTGCCACTTCAGACAAAAAAATGAAAGAATTAAATGATCAAGAGGCAAATCTGAAGGAGAAAGTTGTGCAGTTGATTAACAGCTTGGAGAATATGAAACACACTCTTCAAGAAAAGGAGAAAAATGAGCATGAGCAAATACAGTCTATAGAATTGTAAGTATATAATGGGAAAACTCATAGCCATTTGAGAGTAGACTCAACCTAAAACTGCCTTCTGTGACCATCAGTTTATTTTGATGTAACACGTTTGCATGTTTATCAACTTGATTAACCAAACTGCTGCTTTAAGAAGCTTTAGCCTACTTGAATTTTATATTTGCGTATTTTGCTGGCTAGGTTTTCCTCACCTGTCCGTATATTCTTTCAAAAGTATAGAACTAAATTATGTGGAACTATTGTAGGGGGGAAAGAGGAGCATGCAAGGAAATGAATAATTATTTGAGGATTTCTAGTAGTTTTATGTTACGTGCTCTTTCTGGGAGAAGTGACAAAGTTTAATGGTAGGTCTTGTATAAAAGCAGGCAATGTTTTCTTTGGAAAGGACTGAGTGGTAAAAAGGAAATTAAGATAGAGAAAAAAAGCCCAAGGAGTAAACAGCTGGTTTTGTTAATAGCTGTTCTAGGTGGACAGAGTCTACTATAAGAACTTGAAGGAATAATGGATGTCGAAGGGTAGATCCTTCCCCTGCCCCCTCTACTTTTCAGATCTTTAAGAAATAGGAGATGTATCTGAGAGATTGTATTTACTATTTATGGTAAGGAAATTGCTATAATGGATTACACAGCATCTTAAACCTATTCCTACATTTCCTGACTAGGGTTAATTTAGTGCCATATTGGTAGGTACCTGCATATACTCTAAAGTACAATGTAGCATGGAGGTCTGGGGATCCCTGACTCTGTGCTTCTAAAGCTTTAAAAGGTTTTCTTTTTGTGATGCCTTGTTTTGGGCTGTCAATTAGACTGGTAAAAAACCTTAAGTTAGTTTAAAAGTAAAAATCCAAGATGTTTTATTGTACACTTCCTTTTTAATAAATATGACCCTTTTAAAATAAACCCATCCAACTTCTTAACTACTTTGTAGGACTTGTAATATCAATGTTTGCTGCAACATTTTTGGTTTTCCTATTTTCTTTTGGTTTTTACTTATTTTGATCCTTATAAGGTCTGGGATGTAGATAATAAGTTTAAACTTATTTGATATTAACCTTGTTCCTCTTGTTAGGTTGTAAGGACACCTAATAATAAAATAATTGCTCTACTGTGCTTAAAAAAAAGAAAATTAAAAATTGCGGTGTTCAGAAGTGCATCTGAGCAGTTTGTTACTTCAGTATCATAATAAGAAGCAGAAATCCAAAAGTAAATTATAGATCCTTGTCATTGATCTGCTGGATCTGAGATTCTATTAATGAATAAAACCAGCAGTCAAAGAGCTTGAGTTAACATGTAAAGAGCTGATGCTTAGAGATGTGAAACACTAATGTTCTTTGTCTCTTAACTTCTAACACAAGGCTACGTAAAGATCTTTCTGAGAGGTCTGCCCTTGTAAGGGTTTTGAAGAAAGATTTACAGAGGAAAGAGGAAGAATATACAGATCTGAAAGAGAAATTTTCTGATGCGAAGAAACAAATTCAGCAAGTACAAAATGAGGTTGGTACCCATAAACCAAATGTTTCTTCTGCAAGTTTATGCTTGTTATTAAAACCTCTTTACCAAATCTCAAGCTACGAATGTTAAGTGATTCATAATAAGGCTATTTTGAGTGACATGTTCAGAGTAACAATGAAGTTACATTGCCATTAAAGCTGTAAGCTAAAGATAAGACCGGATGTCAAAACTCAGATTAGTACAGATATTGAAGAGGGCAAAGGGAATTTTATTAATACACTTGAAAAAAGTTTGAAAAGTATGGCTAATCTGGTTATGGAGGACTTTATACTCTTTATAACAACAGTAGCCTTACGTTGCTATTTGTGCTAACTTCAAAGCCTCAGACTTGTGGAAAATGCTATCTCTGGGAGGAAAAGATGGGTTAATCAGAAAAGGAAAGCACTAACTGCTAGATACTTTTCAAAAATTGAGCTGTGCTTTCTATTAACTAAATAGAAATTGAAAAGAAATGGAGAGAAAAAGGAGTAACTTCTACTAATGTTATTTTTGTTGTTATAAAGCAGTAAGATTTCTTAGAAACTCAGGGGATATTGTAAGAAATTAAAGTCCAAAAGACTATTGCAAGTGTTTAGGCTTGAAAGTTAAGCCTTAAAGGTATTAGTCTTCCACAGCAACCTAACATTTGAGAACTTTTTTCTACACAATTTTTATCCTCTGTTTGAGAAGTAGGTAGGAGTGGATGGGATCACATGTCAGAAAACTTTCTCTCCCCCTCCCTTCCCCCCCTCCAAGAACAACTGAATTTTTCATTTGATTAGGCAATTTCCTGGTGTGTTTTGGGGGTTTATTGTGTTTCTTCCGTGTGCCATTTGTGCCCCTGTCCCCAGCTGTAATACTCTACCGTATGGTAATAATACTTCCCTTGGAAGGATATAGAGTATAATGCCCTTCTAGCTCCTGAAATTTAGCTAAGATGCTTGCAAAAAAATGACTCAAGTATTTGGTGTTTTAGATAAGTTACCGAGATTTTAAAAGGCTTATAGCTAAATGTTAGCATTGTTTGCTGTCTTTGCACATCGTTACAGGTGTGTACAATGCGATCTGAGGAGAAATCCTTGAGGAACACAGTTAATGAACTTCAGAAAATTAAAGAACAGCTTAATAAAGAATTAAGAATCAAACAGCGCACAATCCTGCAACTTAAAAAGGTCTTTTTTTGCTCTTTTTAATCATAGAATCATAGAAGGGTTTGGGCTGGAAGGGACCTTATTTAAAAGATCATCTAGTTCCAACCCCCCTGCCATGGGCAGGGACCCCTTCCACTAGACCAGGTTGCTCAAAACCCCATCCAGCCTGGCCTTGAACACTTCCAGGGCTGGGGCATCCACAGCTTCCCTGGGCAACCTGTTCCAGTGCTTCACCACCCTCTCTGTGAAAAACTTCTTCCTGATACCCAATCTAACCCTCCCCACTTTCAATTTAAACCTGTTCCCCCTTGTCCTGTCACTACAGGCCCTTGTAAAAAGTCCCCCCCCGCTTCCCTGTACGCCCCCTTCAGATACTGGAAGGCTGCAATAAGGTCTCCCTCGAGCCTTCTCTTCTCCAGGTTGAACAAGCCCAATTCTCTCAGCCTGCCCACATAGCAGAGGTGCTCCAGCCCTCTGAGCATCTTTGTGGCCTCCTCTGGACTTGCTGCAACTGGTCTGTATCCTTCGGGTGTTGAGGGCTCCAGAACTGGATGCAGCACTCCAGGTGGGGTCTCACCAGAGCAGAGTACAGGGGGACAATCCCCTCCCTTGACCTGCTGGCCACACTTCTCCTGATACAGCCCAGGATAGGGTTAGCTTTCTGGGCTGCCACCGCACATGGCCAGTTCATGTCCAGATTTTTGTCCACTAATTTTACTTGCTCTTAACTTTTTTAACCAATCCACATATGAGGCAAGTTTTCAATGCAACAGGAGAAAGCTTACAGAAACTGATGTAAAAATAAAAGTAGCTATTTGAAATGAGTTTCAATGGCTGAAAGAAAGGTGTTTCAAGAACTTGTGCTTTCAGGACATTGTCAAATTGTTTTAAATAGAGTATTCTGCCTGGTAAATATATATTTAATATCTGCAGAACACTAGTTCTGGTTTAGTGGTGCTTAGGTATGTTAGTAGTAACATCTTTCTCTAAACATTTTTTTTTAATCAGCTTGAATGCTCCTTTACACTACATGAAAAACTTATTTGTTCGGGACTGTGTCTTAAATACTTAATTCTGAGCTTTGATAAGTAATGAATAAAAAGCCACTCATTTGTAGCATGCATATTTGTTTCAACACGTTTTCTTTAATTTGTTTTCAATGTGATATTTAGGAGCAGTTGAATAATGAGAAGCTGGAAGAAATCTCCAAACAATATGAGAAAACGCGTAAAGGTCAGAAATTTTTTTGGTGTGGAATGACAACATAAAGAGTTGTTGTGTTAGCAAATTTGGAATCTTGTATATTTGTATATTAAAATACTGAGAAACTCACCTGGATGTTAAAATGTTAGTCAGGAACTAATTTTTATTGAATTATTATTTGGAGGTATAGTTATTTGAAAGCAATGAAACAGTCATAGAAGAAGAAACCTAAGCCCCAGAGAAAGTGTGTATTTGCTCTATCAGTGTTAACTTACTAAATGTTGATTTTATTTGAGCTGGCCATTTTAACAAAATCAAACACTGAAATGTGAAATAGCACAAGAACACTTTCTGCAGGTTTGATAAACATGTAGCTCTTCAATAATGGTTAGCTTCTAGTATAACACAAGACGTAATGTGACTGATGTTAGCACTGAAACACTTGCCTAAATCAAGGTGACGAGAGTCACTTAAGAATTTTAGATTTTGATAGTTCAGTAGGGATGTTCTATTTCTTTTTAATAAAGCTTTTGAACTCAGAGGGTGGGTAAAATGACTCGTAATGAAGGTACTTTGGTGGAAACTGGAAGGGGGCTCATCTGTAAATTTATTTTCAAATTTTCAGATCTGTGTGCAAAGGAAAAAATAATTGAAAACATGCGGATGACGTTAGAAGAACAAGAACAGACTCAGATTGAACAAGATCAAGTGCTTGAAGCCAATTTAGAAGACACAAACAGATTACTTTTGGGTAATTTTTTATGGAAAGGGAGCAGGGAGACAAAATTGTTCTGGCTTTATTGTGATAACTGCTTTAAACTTCTGGGGTTTTTTGACTGTTATTTAGGCATTAATTTTAAGCAGTACATAAACATCCAACAATTAAGGACTTCCCTTTGTGGTGATAGCTGATAAATCCAAGTAGCTTTAGCAGAAGGATGTGAATGTGGTCAGACATATTTGAAACTATACATAGTTTAACCTCATTTTGTATATTGGTTAGAACTGGAAGAATGGAAGCAGAAATACAAAGCGCTGAATAACCAGAGCAATAGCAACTGCCGGAAAAAGATGAGCAGAAGTGAGGAGGAATGCATAAATCAAAATGAGGAATTAATAAAGCTGCAAAAAGAACTGAAGGTAAATATGCTGATGTAATTCATACTTAGTTTTAAGGCTGTAATTTTCATTTAGGGTCTAAATTTTTTGTCACTCTCTTGAAGAGCTAGGCAAGCTGTTAAACTGGTAAAGGAAACCTCCTTTAAAAGCTGCAGTGCACCAGTGCAGCAAAGTCTGGGTGTAGCATCTTATAGTATACGGTATCACTGATGCCCCATAAGGGAGTGCACCCTTCAATTCATCGTGCTACCATGGACAGTAATTCTATAGCTGGGCTTCTCTTAGTTATCTTAACCGATCCAACTGCTGATATCCCTTTGGAACCTCTTTCATGTTAGTTGCTTGGGCAACTAAAACTCTTTCAAGATCTTGTGCTCACTATATGACCTGTAATTGCTATGCTGAGGATTTACCTCAAAATCTCCTTTGATTAGAAAGTAGACTCTTTATCCAATAGCTTTTTGGATGCCTTCTGTCTTATGTGGGAGAATATCTGACAAGAGGGTTGATTGTGATAGAAAAGGAGTCAAAGTTGCTGTGGACCGAGGTGATGTTCTTAGGTACGCTCTCTATTTGGCTACCTTTCAAACTGTACTGCATTCTTTGCCTTTCTGTCTTGAAGTAGAAGCTTTCTAATATGTCCTGTAAGGCAGCATAAGAGATTAGGAATTTGTAAATTAAAAGGGTCTCTTTAACATTAATTCTGGTGTAACTTTTATAGAATTTGTGACTTAGAGCAATTTTAGAGGGGAAAAAAAAATTCCATTCCATGAAGATGTGCTTGTTTGAATAAGAAGTGTTGAAAATTGTTAATTTTTTTCAATAGAGAAGAACAAATGAGAATGTAATACTTGCAGTCAGCAATATGCTGCAGTAAAATTGTGCTAGTATTTCTGTTATCTCTTTGAAGCTAATCCATTTAATGGTAATCTGGATTTTAAGACTTTTTTCTTAATCTCTACCTATGATTTTATTTCTGGTTTCATTAAAATAGGAAAATGAGGCAAAATATCAAACGGATAGAAGGAAGTGGCTGGAGGAGAAAATGGAACTCCTAAGTAAAGTAAAAGAAGCTGAGAGCCATTGCAACAGAGAAATGAGAAAATTTGCAGAGGAGAGTGAACGTTACGTAGACCAACAAGCAGAAATTGTAAGTGTCTGGAGGTCTCAGCAGGGTCCTCTACTGTGAGTCGTTAGTACAGAGCAAATCTCATGCTAAGTGTGGGCACTTGAGGGTAGCTGGCCTTCGACAAAGTCCCCTCACTTTATCACATGGCACAGCCTAGATGAGATCATCTCAGTATGAAAAGGGAAGAGTAGGAGGGTCACAAAATGAAAAGGCTTAGTACATAATGGAAGTTAGCATGTCTGTTCCTTTCTATCTTACCACCACCACCTCACCTTCTTCAAAATTCATCTTATGTGTAAAACATCATAAGTAACCTACACTTAAATGAATTGCTACTTAATGAGGCTAAGAAAACCTACATTAAAAAACAAGATTTGTTGCTTGCCTTTTCTAAAGCAAAAAAAAGCTTATGAAGCTTTAGAAGGAAGAGAAAAAGGGAGCAGAAGTTGACCAAAAAGAAAAAAGCTTTTTTACAGATATAGAGTAAAAATACTTGGTTAAGATGCTACTGGTTTTGTTCCCACATCGCTTTCAAAATAGAGAGTAACTGATAATTAATAGCAAGGTGGATATACCACCTGTTCACTGGACTGCGTCAAGGTTGTAATTTCTTAAACATGTGAAATTGCTATATGAATCCATAAAATCTAAACCTGTATTTGCATCTGAATTGGATAGCAGGGACTTCTATACATGCAGTCAGTACAGGATGATGTTAGGAGCTCAGGACTACTTTCACTTTATCTGTGACTTTGCTTGCCTCAGACTTATTAGTAATATAATCACAAAGTGAGCACACAGGAGTGGTGATTCTTACCAAAAATTCTCATTACAAAGAGTATAAATACGGATACAGGTTTTCTAAATGAAGCATGGTTTGCTTTTGCATGTTTTTAGTGAAGATGGTTCTGTGTGAGCTTTTAAAGATCTGCGTAGGCGCTCAAGTTTGCTAAGGCCATAACATAGTTTGTTTTCACCTAGTTAATACTATCAGAACAGTTCAGATAGTGTGTGGAAGTGGTGCTCAATTCTAACTTATTTTTCACCCATTTAGGAAAAACTTGCTGCACAGCTGGTAGAAAAAGACAGCAATCTTCAAAAGTGGCGTGAAGAAAGAGATAAATTAGTAGAAGCTTTGGAAGTACAGCTCACGATTTTGGCTTCTAAGACCACACAAAAGGATAAAGAAATAGCAGAACTGAAACAGGCTGTGCTAAAGGATTCAGGAGAGGTAATCGCTCTTGTTCCTGTGTCGTATTCTGTTTGTTTGTTATCCATTAATTCTGCAAAACACATAATTGCTCTTTGCATTTTTAGCTCTATTTTTTGTTCTTAAACACTGTCATGTTGAAACCATTTGCAGCTAATAAAAAACCCTTTGGTTTTTGAAACTGAATTTGTAACAGTAACTGAAGTTTCAAAATATTTAGTAGTTCAAATAAGCACTCAATTCTATTTGATCCTTTGCAAAGTGGAACTGGAAATCTGAAACAACTAACACATTTGCTGCTTCTTTCATAGCACCAAGGTCTTCATGAACAAATGGGAGTTGAACTTCTTATAACTCTACAGAAATAGAGTAAAATAAAAAATTTTGCATTACATTTTCCAGACTCTTATATGACTTTTGTTCACTTTAACAAGTGGACACTCACACATGAAATCATTGGCTGCTTGTTGCATAGCTGATTGTTTAACCTGCAATTCTAAAACTGATGCTACCAAGTAATTGGAATGATACTCATGTATATGTTAATTTCTTTTGCCAATCCTGCAATCTGTGGAAATTTTTGCTATGTTTATTAGGATAAGGAAACTCATATAGAAGAACTAAGAAAACAGCTGGCTGAGAAAGAGAACCTTATAAAGGAATTGAAAAAACACGTTAACCATGGAAGTCTTAAGTCTTTGTCAGAATTACCTTTACCTGAAGGAGCACAAGATAAAATAGATCAATCTGTAAACAAAGAGGTATGTTTGTTTATATGTGTAGAAAGTATGTACTAATGATAGGTTTTTCAGTATATATTTCAGCATCATTACATGTCAAAAGTTACAGTACAAAGGACTATGAAAAGCATCTTCAGTTCAGAGTTCTTCACTCTTTTTCTTTCCTTCTTTCATACCTACTCCTAGAAAAAGTACTTCACTTAATAGAATACCACCTCTGTCTACACTATAGAGCTTATATGTCTGAGGGAAAAACTAGTTAACTAACCCAGGTTCTAGAGATTTGAAGACACAGTATTTGTAGTGTCATCTCAGTTTGATTATGTCAGTTTTAAGGGGATTTCAGCTCAAACAACTTAGATCTCACCTATACTGTGGTAATAGAGATGATTCTGTAATTAGACCTGCCAGCAAATATGGAGGGTCACAAGAACAAAATGATGGCATCTTGCATTCCACTTCAAACCAAACCAAAGCAATATTTGAAGTTTACAAAAAAAAGATCAATTTTGTATATTTCCTGAACAAAAGCTAAAAGGCTTGCAGCTGTACTGAGACTCCTCATTCTGACTGAACCCATGTGTGCATGAATAGAATTTGTAGAGGCGATTTTCCTGTTAAACTGAATTAATGCTATGTGGCCCCATTACCAATTAATAATGAGCAGGGGTGAAAATGGATTTCCTACCACTCCGTCCCCTGGCTGTTGGAAGATGCGATTCTCCTCTTATTGCATATCTGGACTGAATGCCAAAATGCATCTCTTGATCTCTTTCCTGTCTACTGCCAAATAAGACTGGCTAGTTTCTTGCTACTTCATCATTTCAGCTAGTGCAGTATAGATAAAGCTTGTGATGTATGAGGGAGGACAGAATAGCTATCAGAACACTGCTACTTTTATACAGCTTTGTAATAGCAGCTAAGAGCACCATAAAATTAGTAATTTTTGCTATAAAATTAGTGAAGATTTGTTTACCTCAAGCCAGTAGCAAATACTTAATGTTACGAGTAAGGAGAGGCTGCTAACAGGACTATCATGTGAGAAACAATTATGGTGGTGTTGAAAAGAGCGGGTTAAAGTTTGGGGGGGAAGTTAAAGAATTCTTAGGAAAGACAGAATGGAGATAAAGAAGAAAAAAATGAAGCGATCAAGGTGATGCGTCTCCTGACTTGTGAGGAGAGGTTAAGAAGCGGGCACTCTGATTAGGAGAGGTTAAGGCTGCCAGAGGCTTATGGGTATGAGGCTTACAAAATCATGGTTGTGGTGGGTAAACAGAAGGCAGAACTGTCCTTCCTAAAATCGTACAAGAACTAGGCAGCACACGATGAAACTAATGGGATTTAATTATAAAAACAATTAAAATAGTGTATTCCTCTGAAGCAGCTATTGATCTTCTGGAGGTGATAGGTACTGTCATTTTTTAAAAAATTGTAGTATAAATCCATAAATCTATTCATAAATGGATACTCTGAGGATTAGGCAGCAGTGACACTCTGACACTTCTAATGCAAGAACTGAGAGTGCTGTGGGAGTATGGAGGGAACAGGTGACAAGGTGGTCAGGATCACACATGTCATCCCTAAATGGCATCTCCCTTTTTCAGTCTCAGAGGCAGAATGTCAAACTAGATGGTTGGTGAGACCCAGTAGGGCACATTTTGGGATTTCATTGTGGGTAGATGTTACTGACTTAAACTTGTGTTGTCTTTCAGTGTTTGTTAGCTTTCTGCACTTGAGCTTTTATATTGTAACTTTAGAAAACTCAATATATTTTGAGGTTTATGGTCTAGCATAATTTTTACTTATTCTAAATATTTACAGTTTATGGAAAAACAAAGCAAAACTAATCCTATAATTGGACAAAGTATGCCAGTAAGACCTGACAAAGTTGAAGAAAATTATTCGTTATCTCGATGTCTTAATAGCACCTCTTCATTAAGTGAGGTTGGTATGAAGCTTTTAAATTTGAAAATTTTATGTAGTTGTATGGATTTTGCTAAATGCAGAATAGGGAAGAAAATGTGTCCTGTTGCCTGAAGAATTCTAAAGTTTTATTCTGCAAATCCCTGTATTGGTGACCAGATCACCTGATTTGGTGGCTTTTTGGTAGCAATAAAAGCTGTATAACATAATAATGTGAATAATTATATCTGACTTCAACTGTGTGCTCTTGGAAACCTGCCTCTCACTGATGCTTATGAAGTGGCTGATTATTAGATGTGTCACCTGTTGGGGTGGGGGAAAAATTAAACACTTTTAAATGGATGAGCAATAACAGGGCAAACTGAATTGCTTTCTTCCACTGCAGGATTCTTGTATGTAGCTTTGTTAGCTAATGACATTAACAATTATTACTGCGTAAATTTTTTGATTGCTAACTCTTTCATGAAATAGCATTTATAAGAAAAAATGTTTTCATTAGACAGCTCCATTCTTGGGAATGAAGTGGTGATGGTGATCCCACTCAAAATCCCAGCAGATACAAAACAAGTCTTCGTCTTGTGGGCAGTGGTGCTGCCTGAATGCCTGCTTTTCCTCCAGAGAACACGTGCAGGTGTAGAAGTCCCTCATAGGTTGAATTTGGCTTGTAGCTTGCCAGTTGGACATTGTTACACAAATAACTTTTCCAACGTAGAGGAGGATGAGAAAGCTCCCTAAAGATAAGCTAGAGCATGAGTATACTTTTCTCTCAAAAGCTTCTGTAACTGCCCAGTTCCTAAGAAGCTGCAGAGTTAGGATGAAAATCATGTCAATTCTGGCACTGCTAGCTGTGAAAACCATGACTAGCTGCCTCTGCCCTTGAGGAAAATGACTTGGAAACAAAGTATCAGGCTGACTTCATCAAGGAGAACTTTGTTCTGTGACCATAGATAGATAGTAATGTTAACTACTTAAAATGTAACCGAAGTTTTAGAAAATAAGAGTTAAACTCTGCTATACTTTTATAGATTTCTTCACTTCGATTATAAGTGCTCCTAAAGCTAACAGCTGGAAGGTGGAATGCTTACTTTGTAACCTACTGGAGAGGGATATGTATTATAGTGGTTTGTTTTTAACTCATAGTTATTTTAAAACTTGTTTTCTTAAAACTTCAATATGCTTGCAGGACTATTCAGCAGTTGTCCTTGACTCTTCTGAAGTGTCCACAGAAAGTGGAAAAACTAGTCGGTTCCCAAAACCAGAGATGGAAATACAGTTCACACCTCTGCAGCCCAATAAGATGGAGGTGAAGCACCAGGGTAGCCCCTTACCAGTTACAGTTAAAATGCTCAAGCCAAGAAAGAAAAGGAAGAGTCAAGAGATGGATGAGGTATGACCTAGATCAAACAACAAAATAAGTTGTGCAGTTTTTCAATGTATTACTCTGATCATTTATTAAAATCCTACCTTTATCTTCTGATTCTTACTGAGATCCTATGGATATATCTGGGGTATATTTAAACCTCTTGACACATACACACCCGAGTGATGGATCTCTGGGCTGTGTTGAATAAGGTCATAGACTTCAATTTATCCAGACTCTGGCTTCTTGTTCCTAATTTGCACTTTCTCTGTACCTTTTATATTTCTCTCTCTCTGCTGGTAGCGTTTGCTCCTGTTTCCAGCTCTGATATGTGGGATTACAGACCAGCTCTATGGAATTACTTCTTTTGGTTTAGGCAATCATTGGTATAAATTACAATCGATTCTAACAGGCAATTACAAGTTAGGCCTCTGAGCTCAGTCAATGCATTTCAGAGTTTCAAGACCACTTCCTTCGACTTCATTTCTCCAGCCTGTGGTTTTTTTGAGCTTTTTGTACTTAGAGGGACTATACAAAAATAATTGCAACAGCACCTGAACACCCCTGTTTTCTGTAGACATTAATTCCTCTTTAATTTGGTGTGCTAGATTATCTGCTCCAGCCTTCTTAATATGCTGTGCTGTTTACGTGTGAGACTGAGGCTCCACAGCAGTTCAAGGTGGTAAAAGTCTTCACTGCTCCTACCTGAACTGTATGTTCCTTTCCTCCTTCATTTTATCAGCGTTAGCACCAACACAGCTATCTCTAAGGCACTTACAAAGGCTATGAAAACCTAGGACCCCATTGGGGTGGTACTTGTACTCCTACCTGGGGGGCTTTTGAATCTCTATACTTCTAAGGACTTTTGAAGCTGACTGAGTATGAGGGAGATGACCTGTGGATGACTTGGCTAGGTGGTAAGTGATCTCTTTAAATAAGTGAGGTTGTCTCAGAGCTTGATGGTGTTCTAGAATTTCTTTCAAGCATTCCTAAGTGATATTTTTTTTTTCTCTTAGCAAAACAGTTAAGGGAAATAATCACTACAGTGATGAGTGTTCAGTAGTACTTCAATAAACTCATTTTATTAAACAATAAAATAGTTTAATTTTATTGGTTTACAAAAATAACTGTTAAAAGCTGTCTGAGTTAATTCATCTGAAATTCAACACTTCATTTTGGAATAACGTCCAGTTGATTTAAATTTTGCATGTCTTGGTCCAATTTTCTTCAAGAGTAGTATTCTCTCAGGCTACTGAAAAAGCAGGTGTAAAAATAACCACCCTTCTGAAGGCACTGGAAGAATACCAATCCTTATCTACAGATTAATATATTTTATTTAACATTGTAATCCATGTTTTTAAAGAATACATTTTTACCCACGCATTTAAGTCCTTTCGTAGTGTAGTAGTCAGTGTTCCCACCCCTCATGGGATAGCTTTAGCTGAGTAACTTTTCAATAATGTGGAACTAAATTTAAAAGTACCTTAAATAAGAGTAACATTCAGATGAATAGAAGAGCAATATTATTTGATAATTTACATATGCCAAACAGAAAAATATTATAAAATTATTCAGTAAATTTGTCACAAGTCTACTGAAGACACGATTTGGTTTTTAGGTTTTCTAACACTGAGAAGTACATTGTCAGCAGTAAAACTAAAGACTGAGGGAAAAGCTGTGCTGCTAAAATCACCATGTACTGCTCCTTAACCTTTTAAAAACTAAAATTAAAAAAAAAGTAGGTTTTCGGAAGCAAACAAAACCAAATCTTTTGCAAAGACCTCCTTCTAATTAAACAGAGAACAAAATCCTCTTCCCCTTTTCTGATGGTGTTATCTGTTGGTATGTCTATTGGTTATCTGAAATCTCTTGGCATTACTTCACAAGATAGATGCTTTTAATGTCAGTTTAACAAAATGGTACTGTGCTACCCACCTGTTGTTATGGTTGTCACTGTAAATCTGAATTTATGTTTAGATTTATTGAGTTAATTTTGTATGTTCGCTTGTCAAGTATCTTAAAGCCTAAGTGTAGGAAATAATGGAGAGAAGGAAATAGTAAATGTCAGAATGGTTTGACTACAGGTGTTTCTAGTTCCCTTCCACAAGTTTAGCATTTAAATTACGTTTGAATAGTTACCTCTATCCAGTATTAGCCAATGCCTCCTTACTGTTAGTTGCAGCATTTAAACAGTGGCTGCTTTTGTAATATAAGTAATGTTGTTCTTTCCAGAAGAATCTTAGTTAAAACTTGTCGTATTTATTTTCGTAGGATTTTGTGGAAAATAAGAACAAGAAAAATGCAAAACCTGTTATGACTCACTCGCCTTCTACAAACAACAAGAAAATGGTTTGGTTCTGTTCTATTTTTGAAGTTAGCTTGGTCTTTTTGATAAAGTTTGATTTATGAAAGAAACAAATGTTCTTATACAGCAGTGTCTTACCCTTATCTGTGTACTTGAATAGGATTATTAAACACTTGTGTTGTCTTCCCAATAAACTCTATAAGCTACGCCTACTTGTATTTGCCAAGAATGTGTACTAGCTGTAGTGTACAATGATTCAAAAGGAAGAATATTGCATATTGAATACTGAAGACTAGTTTGAACATTATTAAGTGTGATGTTATAGCCAATGTCTTTGAAGTAAAACTAAGGTTCATGTCATCGATATGTATGACGATTCTAAAGGACTATTTTAGGCCTTAGTAGGCCTAAAAGGTTCAGAAGGTGTGTAGTAGATTTACTTGCCCCATCAGTTTCCTCCTGCATAGTTTATTTAAAAAAAAAAGTAGAGTATTTCATTAGACAAGTTGTTCTGGTTATAAATTATTTGTTTCCTATATTATGTATGTCCTTAGATGTGTTTTTTGAAACTTTGATTTTTTTTTTTTCTTTCTGGATATAAAATGAGATTGTCTACATTGCTTGCTGTGGTAGTATTTTTAGTATAATGACCAGAGGTGTCAGTAGCAGTGCTCAAACAACAGCTTGAAAATAACACTGAAACAAAAAAAAAAGGAATTTAGCTTGAAGATAAGTCAATTTACAACTTAAACAATGATCTTGTATTTCTGTACAGACGTCTACTACACAGCTGTCTAGAAAAAGATACTCCTTAAGAAAGCAAGAATCTACTTCAAGTAAAAAGTCAGCTAAGAAGAAAGATGGAACACTACAAAAAATTGGGGACTTATTCCAAAGTTCTCCTAATATTATTCACTCTACAGGTTTGTGCAGAATAAATAAGGCCTATTTCATGTCCTCTGTTAATCGTAGAATGTCTCTTTTCTACTGTAATCTATTAATGTATGTGTTGTTAAATCACAAGTTTGCTGTATTAGGTTGTTCTTTCCTTTGTGAAATAATGGACTCAGAACTGGGGCTTGCTGTATTGAGTCTTGAAGAGTAGAAAAAGCTCTTGACTGCAAGGACCATGTGGTTCTAAAGTTTAGGTTAAGTGTGAAAGGTAAACCAGATGGAATGAAAGGATGCAGTGTGGAATATGTGCATGTAAATTTATCATAAAAGTAATGGTAAATGTTAAGCTCAAAATGTCTGAGTTACTTTGTAACTTTTTAACTGTAAAACAGTTAAAAGCAATTTCAGAAACTAGCCCTACTACTCTAAAAAAAAAAAAAATAATCCAGACCTGAATGCAAATTCCAAATCTTATCTTATTCTCTAAGTAATTCCCTGCTCACCCCCTTTCTGCTTTGTTTCTTTGGAAACTATTAATAAATTTTGATGTACATATGTGGGAAGGAAACTTGAGTTCTATAGGATCTGAAACCATTGTCTCATGAAAATATTTGGAAAAATTCAATAAGCTGATTTTGAAGCAATTAATGGATTTCGTTAAGTTTTAAGCATAGCCTTGGAAAGATTAACTGGTAGGGCTTCCCACTGAGGAATACACTTCTAGTCTTTCCTACAATAAGACATGATCTTTGAGTTACTGTGTTTTTTTTAAAAAAAAAGTAAAATTACAATTAGCAGAGGGCACTAGGAATCGCCAGTGTTAAATTCTAAAAGGCACTGTTGTTTGACTGGTTAAAAGGTCAGTCATTATTCAGTGTGGAGAGTTAATATCTCTGCCAACTTGAAGACATGACTTTCTACAAAGTACATCTTACTTATGTGTTGTAAGACAGTTTAGATGATGAGAGTAGGAATTTCTTAAATCTTCCAGGTTTCAGACAGGTTTCCTGAGGACAACTTATTACTATCAATGGAAGCCAAATTCAGACTACTCCAAATTTTACCCTGAAAATACTTAATTTGAGCAAATAACTTCTAGTTTGCAACCTTTATTACCATGTCCTGTATTTTTTTCCTCATTTGCATAAGTTAGTATTGTTTGGGATTTCTTATTTCCTTCTAGCTCATAATATGCATACACTCATCTTGACAGATCGAATACTAGTTTGATAAAACTATACAAGTGTATAGAGAAAATTGACTCTGCCCTGTGCTTCTGTCAGCATAAAGTTGTTGGCTGTTGTTAAACTCTTGTTGAAGCATTTAACTTCCAGTAAAATCTCAATTCTAATTAATTTTTAATGTGCTATTAAAATGGGTCCCTTAAGCTTTTGCATTTGAAGCTATAGAAAACAGTTTCCAGCTATAGAAAGCTATGGTAGTCAAATACCACTTCTGAATTTTCATATTTAAACTTCAGACTACATCTGTTTCACTTTTAAACTGCTTTTTAATAAAGCTTGCTTTATTAATGAATTTTGAGACTCACAAAACCAGTAAGACCTTGATTTTCAATGAAAAACTTTTTCATCCAGCAAAGAAGCTGATTGTGACAATAAGCTCACCCAAGTCTCCAGAACCAGAAAGTGTCAAAGAAAAGAAGCTCAAGCCAAAACGAGCTAAGAGAAAGCTGTATTCAACTAACATTTCTTCCCCTCTAGATATCCCCGCTTCTTCGGTAAGTGATTTACAGGTTACTGCTCTGCCCATTGTTATGTATTTCTGTAGTCTTGGATTAAAATGAACTGTTAGGGTGACAGAACAAACCTGAAGGTCCGATGAAGTTGCAGAAGCTGCTTGAAAGTGCTAACTTGTTTCTTGATTCTACTAACCATTTCTTTAGTCTTCCTGCTGTGTTTTTTGGGTTTTTTGTTTGTTTTAATTTCCTCTGTTTTCTCACTTATCTTGACTGCTGACTTAATGTGTAGGTGATACAGTAATCACAGAGATATCTTTAAATCTGGATTCATAGATATCTTAGCTGTGGTGTGTGGAAGATTACTTTTTCCTCTACTGCAGCAATGGAATCTTAATTTGTTTTTGCAGTAGTTGGTGTTCGTTGAAATGTAGCATAAAGGGAGACTAGAAATAGACACCATTAAGGGATCAGTAGATTTGGAGTAGCATGACCAAAACATTGAAGATAAAGTCTTCGTATACAATTAACTTTTGAGGGCAAGTGAACACCTAAGGTAATTTTGGGTTCTGTTTATGCCCAGTGATATTTGGGATTACTTTACGATGTGGATACATCCATGCTTTTCCAAAGCACAGTTTAGATTGCCTTCTGGGTGTGCTTAAATTGTGTTGCCCTGTCTAAGGTAGCCTGTAAAGAGTATTATAGGCCAAGGCTTGTAGTGTTTCTTAAATCCGACTTTATGGTTTTCACAGTAACTAGTGCTGAGTGTACTCTTGCTGTGTTGGACTTGCATCTCTTTGTTCTGTTCAATCCTTTCTTCCCGTCACTGTGGTTAGTGTTTGCCCATACTGAGGTACTCTATTGAATTTTCTGTAAATTGTATGAATGAACGCAGCAGAAACCAAAATACTGTCCATAGCAGAATGAAGAAAATGATAGAAATGCAGAGTGAAAGAAGATGAAAAGCTTGGAAATGAAAGGAAAAGTAAAAAGTGGAATCCCAGGAAAATCAGAGAACGCCAAAGGCATTTAAGCTAAAAAGTGTTTTCTGAACACTTCCTGTTTCACAAAATGAGTATTAGAGATTATAAATGAATTGCTTTCAGATTACATTTTTCTTTAGACTTTCCCTTTTTCATGAAACAAATACTGATTCTGTATGTTCTCAATATTTGTTGCTTATTGTGATGGTCTCTCTATTCTGGAGACCTCTAGCTAAAAATAATAGGCAAGTTTCATAATGAAAACAGCTTCTGGGCAAAAACATGTTGTTGGTTACATCGGTCTAGAAGTGCATGTCATTTGTCAGTGAAGAAATGCTGAGTAACTCTTAAATACTATCTTTTTCAGATCCTTACAGAACAAAAAGAGAAGGAAAGTGATCACCAAATCATCAAGCGACAGCTACGATCAAAACCACCTAAATAACCTTGCATAAGCTTGTTCCTATTTTCTCTCTAGGTCATATTTCCATTCTATTATTTCAACTGATTGTATATAGGAAGCATGATACTTAATCATGCTCCAAAGTCTGTATATAGATATATAGAATTGTTCTGATTGTCTCCAGTTCCGGCTCCATTAAAGCTGAAATACTGTTCTAGAAAGCTTGTGTCTGAATCTTTTTTTCTTAAAGGAATGATGTCTTTGGAACATAACTTTGTTATGAACCTAATTTCATAACTTGCCCATAACAAAACATTTTCAGATGTTCTCTATCAACATCCAGTCTGAGATTTCTCCCTTCCTCCAAGCTTTCAACCAGTTGGTCTGTAGAGGCTGTGATAGTTAGCTCATACAGCCAGATAAGTGCTGCTCATTTTTGATAGCACAGCTGCAACCTTACTGCCCTTCACAAATTTTTCCATGACTTAAGTTATAAGTTAGGTTCTTTCGTTTGTTTTCTTGGATTGCTGCTCTGTCTTGTCTTTTGTTTCATTAAAGAAAAAAAAAATCAGTGACTTATTGACACAAACATGAGATTAAAATTGTTTTTCTTCAAAGAAAGTGACACTAAATGCCTGTTGCAGTTTGGCTTTAATAACAAATTTGGTGCCTCTAAAAATGCCAAATCAATGTAAAAAATGGTGAGCCATTTCTTCAGCAGAAGTAGTTTTTCTTTAATTTTTATGTGGTTATAGCTTAAATGGGGACAACAATGCTGTGAGTCAGCGTAGTGGCAACAAACTCCGATACGGTTTTCTCTACTGTTCCCCAGTGGATTGTCTGAGCATGAAATGTCTTTTCATAAGGATAATGTGTGGTTCCGTTCTGTCTATCCTGATGTGTAAGATGAGATTCTCATACTAAGTTGCTTCTCTAGTTTCCCAACTGTAAAATGGGGTTGTACCCCTATACTCATCCATATCTTGTCCTTACCAAAGATGAATGTTTTGTTCTTTCGAACTTGAAAGTGGCAAAGTGAGGCTGATTCACAAGTCATTCACTTCTTCCATTGCTTCAACTTTTTGTCTTCATCTTCTGTTTGTGTGAATGAGAACTTGGATTTCCTTTTCATTAGCTTGTGCTTGGTGTTGAAATGTTTCTTTCCTCTTTTCATTCTAATAGAAAAATGTAAAGTCCAGGCAATGGGTCAGGGAATTCTAAATGAAAATAAATGTGATGTCACTTAATACCTCCTCACAGGTACGGTTATATACTTGGAGCCCCTCTGTCTTTCCCCAGCACTCTTGTTTTCTGCTATCTGCAGTCCAGATACCTGGATTGCTCTACTTCAGGGCTATAGAGGAGCACAGCAGTGAAGACTCTTCCCTGATGTTGATGCAAGTTGCTCATTTTATGGAAGTCTCATAGCTGGATGCAGTAAATAAACAAGGTGAAGTCATACAACAGTTTTAAACAGTGGGACAATACTTAGCATATTTATTCTTTTTCTTTCTCAACATTTTGTCTGAGTGTTTTTCTGTTTTTAGCAGATGTTCTCAGTCAGCTGTTGATCTTGACCCTTAATCTGTTTTTTCTGAGTAGTTTCAGTTAATTTTAGAACCTATCATCATGTGTCTGTTTAGCAGGATTGTTCCTTCCATTGTCTATAACCTTACACTTGCCTGGAGTGAAATTCATGTGCCATCGTGTTACCTTGAATGACAGTTTGATTGCTTATCATTAAATTGTAAAATGGCCTTACAGCTGTTATTTGATTAAAAAAAAAAAATTGCAAGGTAAATGCAGGATTGGAAGGATGCTGAATTACTTGATTGCTGCATGTATAATTTCCTTATTGATTCAAATGTGTGGAAAGTAATAAAAATATCTTCAGCCATTTGATGTCTCTGAAATTACCAATTGGTAGTGTTTGTTCTTCTCCTTGTCAAATAGAAAATTTCTTAGTTTTAAATAACTTAGTTCTTTCTGATTTTTGTGGGTAAATAACAAGTGACAAAACATTTAACCAAGTTTATTTCAATTACTCTGGTAAATTGCAACTTCGTTATCTGAGCAACAAACTAGGAAGTAGAATCTCTCAACTTAATCAAGCCACTGTGGCACTCAGAAATTCTATTGTACTTCTATTGCCAATTTTTATAAGTTCTTGCATATACTAAAATTTTATCAGTGTTGCTGAGCTATCAGGAGGCTATTTGAAAATCTGTTTTTTCTGGAAGTCATTTGAATGGGTGTTTTCACTATCACCTGAGCATCAGAGTAGCTAGATGTACAAGCACAAAGAAATTGTCTATTTCAGTTACTCTAGTTTTGTGTCTCTAGCCTTTGCAATTGCAAAACTGCACTGGACTAACTTCCTTCACAGGTGTAGGCTTGGTTATCAAACTCCATGGTTACAGATTCCAAATACATACAGAAATAAAACATGTTCCTTTTCAAGGGACTGATTACTGTGCTTCCTACAGCTCTTGGGTTTGAATCTGCATGTTGGTAGCCTAGAAAATGGGTCATACTTTGTGTACCTCTTGTTTGTATATGTCAGGAATATTGATTATTTCCTGAGTAAGAAGAACATGGGTGTGATCTGAAGGGGGGAAAAAAAAATAATCCAAGAAAGCAATTTTTTGATTCTGTTACATATGAAGTTGTGTTAACTTTTAGTTCTCTAGAAGTAATGGGAAACACTTTTCTTCCTCGTCAAGACTGAGGCCTGCTTCATACTTTCCTTCTGTCAGCTCCTCTGGAGAACAAAGCAGAAAGGACATTTCCATTTTGCCTTCCAACTCTTCCTGGTAAGTACTGTAGTTTATTAAAAACTGACCATGAATATGCCTCCGACTTAATTTTATTCTTACCTTAGAGTAAGGTTCATCAATTAGCCTGCAGGGCAAACAGAATACTGTTAGTCCATTAACAAAGGAGAGCTCAGTTCTCTACCTAGCAAAGGCTAAGATAAGCACCGTGTAGTGGAAGCTTAGTCTGTAGTTTTACATGGAGACAGCATCTGGTAATACTTAAACTGCCCTTGTTCTCTTCAGAATGTACTTAGCTGTAGGAACATGTACCCCAACAGAGTTGTGTGATGTATGTATCATCTGTGCCATGGGCTGAAGGGGGGAATGAGGCTTCTGTGTATGAAATCGGGTCATGCAGTGCTGATGTCCTAAGAGAACCCAAATCAACCCCAAGACGATTTCCTGGGGTAGAAACAGTGACTGCCACTGTTTTGCTGGTACAGCAACACTGTTGACTTTGAACAGTTCCTTCTGAGCGTGTCACGCTGATGGATAGTTCTCAGGAAATAGCCTATGCTAAACTTGTGTCAAGCTGCCCCAGCTTTTCCAATGGTTAAGCCTCATCTTGAAAAGCATATTCCTTGCTCAGCTTCAGCTCACTTGAGGGTAATCACTTTTCCTTTTGCCATCCTCATGGCACTTCTATTACGGACATAATGAAGGCTTCTGGTAGGAAAACATAAAGACCTTCGTATAGGTCAAGCCTTTCTCATGGGCTAAAGAAAACAAGGAGGAACACTGGTCACAGTTGGATCAAGATAGCTCATGAAGTGAGGGTAACTTTTTGGAGTTAAAGTGAGGAAAGGGAGCAGAATATTTTGGGGGTGATTTTTCAGTGATAGAATACCTTTCCATAGATAATGCAGGTAATTGAACATTCGTGGCACTTGATTAGAGTCTCACCAACGACAGCTACATCCCCAGAAGATGGTGCTGAGGCACTGTGCCAGAGCTCGAGTCTCCATACTGAGAACATCAGCAGGGAGGTGCAGGGGCCCGAGAATGTGTTAATTTGATTTAACCTAACCCATTTTTCATCTCATTTAACCAAGCTTTGTAAAAAGTTCAGAACAGGGCCTTTCTGGACAAAGTCCTAGTCCTCCAGATCTCTTTGCTGCTATGACTCTACCCATGCATGCAAGTAATGAGCATATAGCCAAAATGCCAAACTGTACCTTTTCTGCTGTCTACTGAAGCCTCCTTGTGCTCTCAGATTGCTGCAGAAAGATGAATTCTGAAACCCTTATCTGGGAAAAAAGACAATCTGGATTTTACCTGGAAGACCAACTTTTTCAATTCATTAAATAACTGGAAGATTTGGGTAAAATGAGCTTGCAGCTGTTTCTGTTCATTGCCCACTGTTTAAACTGTTCTGCTTTGAAAAGGAGTCCTGTTAATCACAGGGAAATTGCTAGTGTGATGCATCAGTTCAGGGCTGTTTCATGTCATTGGAGAGAATAGAAAATTCTGGTTAAAAAAAAAAAGGATAAAGGAGAGGCAGCATGTGCAGCTAAAACACCTCAGCACATTAAACACCATGTCTTTTTTTAGATCTTGTACCTTATGAGCAGGTATGCTTTGTCTTGGAGACCTTATATAAAGTGGATGATTCTGACTGTGTTTGGAGACAGTTCTCCAGCTGTGCCGATGTGTGCATGACTAACCAAGGAAGATTTAGATAATCTTTCCTCATCTTCTGTGGTCAATAGACCTTAGATAGTATCTCAGCTCTGACGTGTGTTAATGCCTCGAAGCCACATCAGAAATGATTGCATAGAATCACAGAATGGTTTGGGTTGGAAGGGACCTTAAAGACCATCTAGTTCCAACCCCCCTGCCATGGGCAGGGACACCTTCCACTAGACCAGGTTGCTCAAAGCCTTGTCCAGCCTGGCCTTGAAGACATCCAGGGATGGGGCATCCACAGCTTCTCTGGGCAACCTGTTCCAGTGCCTCACCACCCTTTCCATGAAGAACTTCTTCCTGATATCTAATCTAAACCTCCCCACTTTCAATTTAAACCTGTTACCCCTTGTCCTGTCACTACAGGCCCTTGTAAAAAGTCGTGTCCCCCCCCCCCCTTCCTTGTAGCCCCTTCAGGCACTGGAAGGTGCTATAAGGTCTCCCCGGAGCCTTCTCTTCTCCAGGCTGAACAAGCCCAACTCTCTCAGCCTTTCATCAATAGGCGAGGCTCTCTGCAAAACCCAAAATACTAGTCCTCCCCTT